TGGTGCCGAAACGTCTAGTTCCAATGAATCGGAAACAGAAGTATTAATAAATAAAAGAAGTGAAGATGATTTTTCAATGCAGCACGATATTTTGATAAAAGTAACCTTGATTCTTCTATACAGTGTGATTGTGCTTGTAAAAACATAACTACTGGGAATTCTATAATTCAGAGCATTAACATTAATTATTCTAATATCAAAAGTACTATTACAAAGTTTAATGCAGAATCATATGAAAATGTTCTTTGATGGGTAGAACATTTTGAGAATGCTTCTACATTGTTTAATTTGTCGGATTTACAAAAATTTAGCTTTGCCAAATGATTGCTTGGTGGGAATGCAGCATTACCTGTTTGAACAGAACCGGAACTCAATTCATGGCCAAAATTAAGAAAAGCCTTAATTAACAAATTCTCTTTTGAAGTAAATTCTGCTAATTTGCATGAGCTATTAAGTCGAAGAAGGAAAAATACTAAATCAGCTCAAGAATATTTCTTAAAAATGAAAGAATTATGTAATATTGGGAAAATAGATGATGCTGCCATAATGTATTGCATTATAAATAATTGAATTTAAAGAAAAACCCAAAGTGTAAGAAGTAATGAAAGGCTATTTTGCAAGAAATAAAGGTGCTTTTCATAGAATAAAAATGAAACATAATTATTATGATAAAACTAGGGTGAAACTCTAATAAAATAAAAATGGAGTTATGATTAGAAATATATCTCAGTGCATAAAAGAGTAATCAGTATTTACCAAATACTTTACCCATCCTTGCAGTTTATTTAATTTCTGATGAAACCAAAGTAAATATTGAATCTGATATTTCAAATATTTTCAGAGATTAGAAAAATTAGTTTTGAGTTATGTTCCATGTAAAACTAAAACAACGAACATAGAAATGGACATTTTGGTAAAAAATAATGAACCTATATTTCATCAACCTCGTAAGTTTCCATTTTCAGAAAAAAGAATTGCTCAAGTAGCTGAATGGTTAACACAAGGAATAGTAGAACCTATTTCTTCAGAATATTGTAGCACAGTTGTAATCGTTAAAAGGAAAGACAGAAGATCTCGTTTATGTATTGATTATAGAAGATTGAATAAAGTAATAGCAAAGGACAGATTTCCACTTCCATTAATTGAAGATATTCTAGATCAGTTGCAGGGATCACATATATTTAGTACGATTGATCTTAAAAATAATGGTTTTTTTTCATGTTGATGTAAGCAGGGATAGTAGGAATCATTTGTAACACACGAAGGTCAATATCAATTTCTCAAGGTTCCTTTTGGACTATGCAATTCTCTGGCTGTATTTCAGAGGTATACCAACACCATTTTTTGATATTTAATTAAAGATGGTATTGTATTGCCGTATATGGATGATGTAATAATTTTGTGGTCCTCCCTTGAAGAAGGAATCAAGTGGCTTGAATAGGTCTTAAAGCTTGCTATAGTGAATACAAAAAAACGAATCGAATTCTTGGATCATGTTATCAAAGAAGGTAAAATTTTTCCATCCACTTTAAAAACGAAAGCAAGTTTCCAGAACTGACTAATTTAAAACAAGTTCAAAATTTCCTTTGTCTTGCCGGATATTTTCATAAATTTATTCTCAATTTTCCATAATTGCTCAACCATTAACTGATCTTCTTAGGAAAGGTGATGACTTCCAATTTGGTGACAACAAAAGAAATGCTTTCAATTTTTTAAAATAACATTTATGTGAAAAACCTGTACTCAACATCTATAATCAACAGAGCGATACTGAAATGCACACTGATGCCAGTATCCATGGTTATGATTGTATACTCATGCAAAGAGCTATGGTTGATAATTGCCTACATCCTGTTTATTACATGAGTAAAAAGACATCTGATGTGGAAATGAAATTTACCAGTTACGAACTTGAGTTATTAGTTGTAATTCAAACTTTGAAAAAATTCAGAGTTTATCTTTTAAGAAAATGCTTCAAAATTATTACTGACTGTAATGCATTCAAAATGATGATGAACAAAAAAGATTTAAATGCACAAATAGCACGTGAGGCATTGATGTTAGAAGATTTCGACTACTAAATAGAACACAAAACTGAAACACGAATGATACATAGAGCAGATCCCCTGTTCTCATCATTCAAGATAGCCTCATTTAAAAAATATGAAATGCTCAAGAGCAAGATTATCACATTCGAGCTTTAAAAGTTAAGCCTTATGATGACTATTGTGTTAAAACTGATTTAGCTTATAAATTTGTAGATGGTAACAAATTTCTCGTTGTTCCAGAATCAATGCAAATTGATATAATTAAGGATTCACACCTTCGTGGACATTTCGCTCCTAAACTATATTGCAAATTGTGTCCCTTACATACTAAGTAATCGTAGATGTGGCAAACATGAAGCTATGTTGCATTGTATACCCAAACAAGATGTACCACTTCATACATATCACATTGATCATTTAGGACCACTCAAAAGTACTCATAAGCGTTACAAGTATATATTTTCTGTTATTGATTTTTTCACATAGTTTGTATGGCTTTACCCAACAGAATCTACTGATAGAGCTGTGAAGTAATATCTAAATTAGAAAATTTAAATTTTGTCTTTGGAAATCCTTCTTGTATAATTTCAGATAAAGGTGAAATTATACAACTTCGAAAGATTTTCAAGATTATAATTCAACCAACAATATCCAGCACATTCAAATTGCTACAAGATTGCCTCGGGCCAAATGAGCAAATTGAGAGAGTGAATTCTGTCATACTTTCTGTTCTGTCCAAATTATCAATTCAAAATCCTTCAAAACAGTGTACACACATCGATGAAGTCCAGCAAGTGATCAAATCAACATATCAATGTAATATAAATACAACTCTATTCGAACTCATGTTTGGAACTAAAATGAAATCTGCTAATCATGATAAAATTACAGAGCTGTTAAATGCAGAGATCCAGTCAGATTTCATCGCTCTTGATGATCTTCGCAAAGAAGCTTAAACAACAGGTTTCGAAAGTGCAGGCTGAAAATCATAAAACTTACAATCTATGACGTAAACCATCCTGTAAGTTCCATCTTCATGATATATAGTAGCAATCAAGCGTACACAATATGGGCCTATTCTTAAAACTGAAACCCAAGCTTCCCGGACCCTACAAAATCTCGAAAATCAAGCCAAACGACACTTATGATGCTGAAAAATGTGGTTTTTTTTATGGACGTATGAAAACAAGCACTTGCACCAAATTTATGAAACCTTGGACTTCATCAGAATGTATTACCTGAACTTTGTTTTTTATAGACATTTTCTCATATGAACTGATCTGCACCTTTGGACTTTAATCCTATCCATCTTTTCTTTGATTATGATAACTAACTATTATTCTTTTTTATTTTCCTAGGTGCTCTTATTAGAAGATCCAGATAGAATACTATTTTCATTTATCTGTATTAATTTAGTATTTTCATTCATGGGTTAATAGTATTAGAATTTTTCTTTTTACTTTAGTTCAAATTTGTTAACTTCCACTGTTTGCTCTTGTCATCTGAGGGCAGATGATGATGTCGGATGGCTGAATTATGTAGAAACTGTAACCGAGTAAGATTATGTAAAAGTGCCATCTAGATGCCAGGAGCTAAAGGGCTGGTTCTTCAGCTTCTCGTACCTGAAACCAGAAGAAGAGACTGATGACGTAGTTGGGTTCGCTTGCTGCTTTGAGAGTATCTTATTCTGACTTCGGTTTCATGAGTATTTGCTTGAAAATCAAAATGTTTTGAAGAATTGTTTGGTAAATAATATGAGCAAGAGATTTTATCTCATGAAATTACAATATATAGGCATTTATATCTGACCTAGTAATATAGCTTCATGCTATGGCACATTTGGGATATTGTCTCGAAATGGAATTTATTGCTGAATCACTGTAAATGGTGTATACTTTTCAAATTATTGCCACCAAATATTATCACCCCGTATTATATTTAAAGAAATTTAAGTAATGAAGAATCTGCATGAACATATACATTTTCTCGAAACGCAAAAAAACAACGGTATAGAAAGCCATAAAATTTTGAATAGCATAATTCTCCACCTGAACATGAGCACCTGGAAGCTCGAATTTTGAATTTCGAAATTGTTTTATTATCTATTTTATATTTTGTAAAACTTTAAAGAATTTTTAATTAGCAAACTCGATTACTGAGCAAGCAGTGGCGACACTGTCAGGAAAAAAGCATTTTTATCTCCAGCGCGCGACACTGTCTATCGAAAATTTTAAAGGTATGATATTTTTAAATATTTTATAATTTTGCTTTTTAATCGAATTTTATTTGTTGTAAGCGCCAAGAACAGGATATTTAATAAATAAAGTAAACATCAAAACAGTAATAATGAAAAGACAAAAAAAAAAAGTACGCTTATTCTGCAACATTTATGCAGCCATTCTTTCGTCTGCTAAACATTTCTGTATGGAAATCGATGAAATATCACGTTTCTTTCTTTCGTATTATGGTAACGTATTACTGATTTTCTGGAAAGTGTATTAACCACATTCAGAGGGGGGAAAGTATAAGTTTCCTAATGGATATTTGGAATTTCAACCTAACATAGAAAGACCATGGGCCATATCATCCAATTGAATAAATAAGAAATAGAAGTGGTTGTTGAGGTTTTAACATTTTTTAATCCCTTTAGGTAGCACTTGATATTTGGGGATATATACAATTGATAAATATTATAATATATTAAGATTAAAGTTGATAGATATTATAACATATTAAGTCAAATGATTCTGAAATAAAAAACACAGTTTAATAAAATGATGTAAGTATGATTTTCAAAAATATATAGGTAAATGGAACATCACTTCATGTTATTTTCAAAAAACTGTTTGAGAATTAGCAATCATTAATTATTTTTTTAATTTAATTCACTAAAGTTCTGATTAATTATTCAATTTATGTAAATTGTACAAAAAATTATATTCTTCTTTGCAGTGAAACAAGACAAAATTTTAGAGAAACATCTTAAACTGGATTATGAAGTGATTTGCCCTTGTCCTAATGATGCTGTGCTAAAGTGGGAAGCAGTTTTTAATTCTTCTGATGTGGAGTATGATACCCTTGAGGCAACTGTCCGATATGGTATTCATTAATAATTATGTTGTATATATTAAATTAAAGAGTTGAAGCTTCAGTTTCATTAATGCATTGTTCATTAATGTTCACCAAATTAAATAGTTGTTTAGAAAGCACTTGAACTAGTTCAGTAAGATTCTTTCAATTATGGAAAAAAAAAACTCTGAAGTAACTTTAAATTTAGAAGTACTTACAAATATTGCACTGTAGCATTATCTAATGTTTAGATTAAAGATCTGGACATCTGGATAAATAATTTATGTATTTTTGTGTAGGTGTTCCACGTAAAAAAAGAGGCGAAGTGTGGCTTTTCTTAATGGAGAAATATTGCAGCTACCGGAAATGTGAAGCGGTTGATAACATCCCATATATGGAACTTCTGCGAAAACTTACACCTTACCAGCATGCCATTTTAATTGATATAGGTAAGAGTATAATTTTTTATTTGATAATACATAGAAAGAAAGTAGGCAGTAAAAATTGTCTCATTCTTTGAAAAGTTTATAGGTGCAATATAATTGTTAGGTGTTACAATGTAATTCTGTGTTCAAAGAAGTTATTCTAAACCCACGTTGCTCAGAAAAATAAAAGTATAATATGACTAAAATTTTGCAATATATTTTTATATAATTTAAATATAAAAAAAATGTAGATTAAAAGGAATTTATTATAAAAAATGTATTGCTGATTACTGTGTTACAATTTTTTAAATAGCCTGATGTACCCCTTTTTTTTACTACTTTATGTAATAGTCCCCCCCTACATCATGTTCATAAAAGTTCTAATGTAGCCTTTATTTTCACAAAGATGACATGTACCAGTAACAAAAATGTTGTAAATGATGCAAGTATTTATGTTTCGGTATATTAATATGTTTAAACTTTAAAAAAATTACTTTTGTGATACAGATTGAATGGAAAGTATATAAATTAGTGTATAACTTTAAAGGAAATATCAGATTATTTAAAAGTTTCTGATCTTAATAGATTAAGAGACAAACATTGAAATACAGATTATCCTGAAGACTTTTGATCAGTGTATATTTTGAGTTTATATTCTAGAAAAGAGTAGAAGGCATATAATTAACTAACTTATAGCTTTATTTGCATAAATTAAAGTAAAGACTATTTGTAGTCTTTTCTTTCTTTTTCTTTTTTTTTCTTTTTTTTTTTTTTTTTTTTTTTTTTTTTTTTTTTTCCCCTTTTTGAGAGGAGGCTGTCAGATTATTTTCTTAAAGAAATAAAACTGCATATAAATATTAGTGATATATTTTTAGCATTTGAAAATTTTGAAGTTGTGTGAACGTGGATTCAGCATATCAAATGCAACAAAACTTTAAATTAAAGAATTTTACACACTAGTAAATGACAAAAGAAATATTGAATAGCATTAAATAAGGAGGAATCAGCCTTAAATTATCCTAATTGTTAACTAACACATCAAGGAGGGGTATAAGTTTGATTTTTTAATACTGTAAAAGCTATAAAAATTCCTAACTTTAAATATTTCAGTCAGTTTTTATCATATAGAGGTCACACTTTTAATATCTGTTTTTAAAAGATATATAAACTTTTACTGCATGTAACTATATGGATCAAGAGTCTATAGTTTTATAATTTTTTTTTAATTTAAAATTTTCAAAACATGAATATTTGCATCATTTAAAACAATGTGTTTAAAAGTGTAAGTCTGTTGCTGATGACAGTGAAATTAAATTCCACAAACAGACTTTTATGGACATCACAATTAAGAAGCAGGCACCGAAACTCAATACTGACATCTCGAAAATTATCTATAAAAGTTGCTGAATGTAAAAAAAAAAAAAAAAAAAAAAGCTATTTTCAAACTCTATGCCAACCAGTACATCAATGAAAGTAGCACATCTTTGTTTAAATAGTGTATGAAGTATCGTAACTCAATAATTGAATGGGACAGAGCCAAATTAATAAAAAAAACCTGATATAAATACAGCCTGGAAATCAAGTAGCTTTACAAATCATCTCTAGACTTTGTTTAAATGGATTCCTTCCTTTCAATGTGCCATATATCTAGATGTTAATCCTGAGAAATGCAGTAATGCTGCAGAAGATAATTTTTATGTAGCAAATTTTAATTAAACTAATGAATTTTAATTAACTCTGTGTTAAAGTTTTTATTTAATGGAAATCGTTTGTTGACTAGTATAGTTGGAGTTTATTTTGGCAGTTAAAAGAATCATTACGTTATTCTCAGCTCTTAGCTTTCCAACAGTAGGGACAATTCTCTGAACATCTCAACAGAAAAAGGGGCTAGAAAAAGCACTATTAGCTATTCTTATTGCTTTGAGATGGGAAAGCTTCTGTTTCAAAATAAATTTCGCTTTTGAGTGAGAAGGAGCTTGGGAAATTATTACTGGGTATTTGAAAAAATAATTTGCATCATTGCTTCACTTTGCTTTGTGAAAAGCTGCAGTTTGCTGAATGAAAAGGTGTTGAGAGTTTTTGTCAAGGTAGCAATTAAAAGACGGAGAGTGAGTTTTCCCACTTCGAGGAATAAGGGGGTTGACTTTTTGTTGTACTCAACCATACAACCGCGAATCATTTTTGTAGGTGGTCAAGAGTGCTATCTTTGTTAACAGTAGTTCTTTCAATTGTAAATGGATGGAAAGATGGAAATTTCCATGGAGTTTACCTGGACTTTAAAAATCAAATTTGGTTTGAATGCCAGCGAGTTAAAAACTAAATAAAAAGTAAAAAAACCTCGCATATTGCATGCTTAGGCCCCTTTTCGTTTCTATGCTTAAAGTGAAAATAGCCACAGAGAATTTTGCTTGAGGTTCTGGGGTTTTTCTTCGGCCATTTCTGACTGCTAAAATATATTTGGAGAAGCTAGATTCAGAGTATCTATCTATCATGACTGTCTTGCAACTTAGTAACAGTAACTGACATATTCTTAATACCTTGTTCTTGGAGTTCTCACCAATTTAGAGGAGATGCCATACAAGTCAAGCTGGATGGCTATTTATATAGAGCTGTACAGATTGGAAATTCATCATATTCTTATGGATCAATGTAAGGGTCAATTAAACAGAAATTTTCAATGGATCATGAAGTATTACAGTACAAATGAATTAGAGTATAGCTAAGACCTGGGATAGCTTTTCCTATCAAGACTTTGCTGATTCTAGCTACATTTTGAGAGCAAGAACCTGAATGCCATTGGCTCTTGGCAGTATGACAGAAAAATGAACTATTATTCTCCTTGTTAAGAGTTTTTTTTTTTTTTTTTGGGGGGGGGGGTATGTTCTGATACTGTAGTGTGTTATATTAAGTGAGGATAGTTTTACTTCACTTGAAATTAACTGGTAAAAAAATTCCAAATTATGTATTCAGTGGGAAATGAATTCTGCTTAAATGATTTTAATTATTTTAAAGAGAAAGGATTTGGGTTAATTATAATGTCTTATAATAATTTGATAATGACTTGTATTAATGTCTACTTTAAATGTTGGATTGCTGTAGAAACAATTGAATATGTAAATTTTAAGGGTTGGTATAGTCCAAATGAATTTTAATTACATGAATCAAAAGCAAATATCTATGTAAATATGAATGAGGCAAAAAGAAGAAATGTTTGATGACATTTCAAAAATAATCGTATGGTATGTTTAAGTTTGTTGTCTATTTTTTATATAAATTACGCTTTTTATATTACTTTTTATATAAAACCAATGGATGTAGGCATAGTCTGTCCAGCTATCTTAACTATTTTAGCAGATAATTAATGTGTAATGATAATGAGGTTATTACAGTGCATTTAATTGTGGTGATTTATAGTATTTTTAAGACAGCATTCTTATGGAACATGGAAATGAATTAGTATTGCATTGTTTGTAGAAATGCAAGTTTTTGATTTTTAATATTTATTTAAGAACATTTATTTAATTTTAATTATTCATAGCACAATAAAAGAAGGGGAACTTAATCGAGCCATTAATTCCAGCTCATACTGAAGAAGCAAGTACATCATCTGCAAAAGCTCCTTTACTAATGTTTAAATGTAGTTTTTATATGTCGGTCTAAAATATTTTATTTCATCTTTAACTATTTTGCTTATTTTATGTTAGCAAAATCTTCAGTAACCTTGTAGAAATCTCTGTCATTACTCCAGTTGTTATTCGATGGGCAGTATAGTAAGATTTCTTAAAAGATAGACTATTTTTTTGTAGGTCTTAGATTATTTTGAAATTTTTTTTTTTTTACATATTTACTAACACTTCCAGCAGTTGTGTAAAAAGCTTGCAGTATTATTATAATATTTGGAATTATGTTCTAAAGACTATGTGCTAGAATAAATTGAAAAAATTCAGGTGGACTAATTTCCATGTTTCTCTTTTGCCTTTCTTAGTAGTAATAGCAATAAAGTATTTTGTACTCAATGGGGAATTATTTCTTATTAATGTCATCATGATCATAATTTAATTGACATTTCCATTTTTCACTGAAAAAGTTTGATGGAGCAAGGAAGGCATAGCATAGCGGGAACATAAAAGCTGTTGAAATCTTATTGTGGTTTCTTTAAATGCTGTGTTGAATGTAAGTCATTTCTCTTTTCAATTCAGTTTTAAAAAATGATTATCACCTTATTATTCTTCAGTTATCATAAGTTCCTTCTTTCTTCTCCTTTATGATTAACTCCTATAAAATTATGTCTCATGAGAAAAATGCACCTCCAGAAATGTGCCTCTCTGGACAAACTACCCTTCTCTACCTATGCCACTGAATCTTTGTGGCACTGACCTGCACAACTTAAAATCTCACCTAAGAAATTAAACTACTGTTAAAACTGATGCCTATCTATTAAATCATCCACCTGTTAGTCATGACTCATTCATGTAAAAGGAGAAGTAGAAATTAAATTTTACTGTTGCATGTATACGGCTTCATAATAGATTGAATGCACACAACTCCGATGATCGGTTGATAAAGTTTATTTTTTCAAAAGAAACACTTCAGAGATCTGAAACTTCCCACAAAAATAGTTCCCACAATTCTTCACAATATCACAGAGTATAATCAGTATTTACACTTCAGTATTACAACTACAATGAATGTTAAACACAACACACTGCAAAGCCCATCTAAATAGTAAAGCTAACTCAGAAATATCACAATACTCCAACTCATGCTAAATTAGCCTACTAAGACAGATGCTCTCTCTCTCTCTGGTCTTATATAGTTTTCACCTGGCCACTGAAATATTTCTAGTACTTTCTGCTTCTCGAAATTATTGGAAGGCATATGAGGGCCAAATTATGGTTACAGCTACACAGAATATCAATTACAGTTATTCAATTCCTATGCCTATAACGTTAATGTAGCAACCAGAGCAAAATGTCACCAAGTTTGGTGAATAGCAGCCAAGTGAACAGCAGCCGAATTTAGTTTTCTGACTGAGTGCTTGGAGAAATATGTTTATAAGCGTCAGCTACTTTTTGAACAATTGCAGTTATTGTGGTATCTTGGATTTTGATTGTACTGTTTTTATAACTGGCATTCAACTTGCTTAGTGATGTTCTGTATTAGATTTTTCATTAAACTTAATAATTTAGTATTGAAGATAACTCTGCATTTTGCTTAGTATTTGAAGCTGTGCAGATAGTTAGCTTTGTATCAATTTGTGAGTTCTGAAACCTTAACTGCAGTGTGGGCTAGATGAGTTAAATCTGCACCAGAAGCTGATAAAGTAGCTTGCATATTGGAAATCTTTGTTTTTTACAAGTTTTTTTAAGAAATTCTCATGTTTTTTTTTTTTTTAATTTTTTTTAATCACTTAACACATTGATTGCTAGCGCACATAAACGTAATCTACATGAGTGGCCCACAATGATTTTATTGGTCTAAAGTATTCCAAAAAAATTTAAAAAGTTAATAGCTTATATTTATTGTGCGATAAATATTATTGCATTCCACATTTCAATCATAAACATGCAAAGAAAAAGTAAACATATTGCATTATCAGAAAATGTGTAACTATTACTTTCAAAACTGGAATTTTTATTATTTAATTCATATATATGCAGTGCAATTACATCATATTTGTCTCAAAATATACATATAACATTTGTTTTAGATCATTCCAAATCTCAAACCTCCTAAGTCTATTTTGAATTCATAAACTAAGTTTGAAAAAAAAAATAACAAAGGACACAACATAGTATTTTAAATCAGTTTTATTTACTTCTGAATTACAATTTTAACTACTTTGCCCTTTCAGGAACGTTGCAGCTCGTCTTCATATATTTTGAACACCATTTTTCAAGAAAGCAAAATCAATATTATTTCCAAAATTTTAAACTTTGCACATTTTTACGAGTGATAAAGAAATACATTTATGAAATTATATACATTGTAATTTTAGATCAATCTGAGCAGAGTAATATGAAGGCCAAAAAAATAGTTCTTTTATAATAGGATGAAAAGAAGTGATAAATATTTTAATTTCACAACTGAAAAGGAGAATTAAACAAATTTAGATTTCCCTTTTTCAGTTTTGAATTGTTGAGATAATAATGTCATTGGATTTAGCTGTTTTAAAAGGAGAAGCTTGTAACTTAACACTTAAGTATCCGAATGATGTAAATGCTTCAGATATTCCACCAGAAATATGTAGTTTTAATAAATATGGCACTCCAAAATTAAGATCAGATCTTTTAAAGTTAATTTAGGAATGTGGTTTCAGTCATATCTGGGTTCAAAAACTATCTGGGCAAAAAAGACATTTTTATGTTTTTAACACTGCCAATTACTATTGTTACAAGGAAAAAGCTTATGGAAACTTAATGATAGAAATTATGAAAATATTCTTCATGTAAAAAATTAAATAATAAAATTAATAAATGAGTAGAACTTGAAAAACAATAATTGTCAATTTTACCTTGTTACCAAAACAAGAAAAACGAGAGATAGGTTTGAATTTGAGTACAATACTTTTTTATTAGTTGTCCTATTCTTTATAATATGTCAGTGTTATTTGTTGTTTATCAAAAATTACTTTTTAATGTTTTAATTTAAAAATTTATTATGTTATTACTTTTTGAATATATAAAGTTACAATTTAGGAACATTATGAGTTATGGTAGATTTAGCATAATTATCTTCGTTTTATGTAAACTTGTGCGGGTATAGTTAATTTGATTTTAAAAGGTGCACATTTACCTCTTTGCTTCAGGTGAAAAGTACTTAGACACATGTCTGATTGAAGAAACAATTATTTGTAAGTATTGTCCTCATTATGTGAGGCTCTTGCTGTTAGCAAGAGTCTTCTCTAGTTGAGAATTTAAGATCATTCTGATATGCTGCTACGTCTGAAACAGTCTGTAGACTGAATTAGTCATGCCTTCTAAATCTTTTGTTTGTATTTTCCATCCTCTGATTCGTTATAGTTTAAAGTGATATCAGCAGAGCTATAGGATGATTGGTTAGTTAGCCTTCTGACTTTGAGAAGACTTGATGGCAGACACAGTGCAGATCGCTAAAATTCCCTGAAAGTAGTTGTAAAGTTATGACTCTTGTAATATCAAGTGGTGGCATTTTACTGAACAAGTTATTACTTCTGCAGTGTCGAAGTATGACATCACACACCTCATAACAGCTCAAAGTCTTGTGGGGGACCACACATATGAATTTCTAATCTTTGTGTGGTCTGCTGCAGGTGCTTCAGCTTGTATTAAAATAAAAATCAATTAAAATTAGTCCTTTTATTCTCTTTCAAGGTCGCACCTATCCTGGCCATCCATACTTCAAACAAGTACTTGGTTCAGGTCAATTGGCATTGTTCAGTCTTCTTAAAGCGTATTCTGTTGTTGATGAAGAAGTTGGGTATTGTCAAGGACTTAGCTTCTTGGGTGGTATTCTGTTACTTCATGTAAGTGTTAAAACTATTTCTTATTTTAAATAAACTATATATTATATTACTTATATAATCCATTCCACAGTGATGCTCATTAAGCAAAATTTTGTTGTGTAAAGGTAATTATGAGAATAAAGTCTTCCAAACCTGATCCAATATCATCCAACATTATAGAAAAAATTCAGAAGATATTGTTAAAATCTCTACCAAAAGTGGAAATGTTACGAATTTACTAACTTATTAATGCTTGTTTCAAGTCATTGTTTAAAATTGTCTTTCACTTCTTGAAGGTAATCCTGAAGTAGTGCATGGGATTGGATTGAATAGAGTATCACTTTCGCTCATTTTAACTTATTAGGATACCACTGCTTTGCTATGACTGGTATCTCTTCCCACTTCCAGTTAAATAAATTCAGTCTAATTTGCACTACTTCAGAAGTTCCTTGATAGCTCCACTTTGAGTGGATTTGTTGTGTTTTCCTCCTCACCAGAAGAAAATTTAAGGAAAGAAAAGAAAAGAGGTAAACCTTTTCCCTTTTATTTATTTATTTATTTAAGCAACATTAAAAGAGAAAGGAGAACAAATTCTGTGTGATAAATTTGCATATCATTCATTATATGACATTTTTCCAATTTTGCATCAGTTTCGTTATGTGGTATGATTTTTTTATATAAGGCATCACCATATATTAGTTGTTTGCTTACTCAGAAGAAAAAGAATAATTAAATATGCTATTTTGATAGACTAGTGTAAACATCCTGCTATCTTGCTAATTGCTTGTGACAGTTAAACCTTTAGTGAATGAAATAGAATAATTTGCAAATAATTTTAAAATAACCAAGAGTACAAAAAGAAATAATAAATTTTTATAATAAGTAACAATACATTTTTAACTAAATTTATTTTTTCATTTCTAATATAATGTATATAACATACCACAAATTGGCAATCTTCTTAGGTCAGGGATTCAGTGGGCAGTAAATATATGCAAATTCTATAAAATTCTTTAGTGGAGTGTTTGAGCTTTTATTGTAATTTTATTCCTATTGCTGTATAGGAAACAGATCGCACTTAAACAAATGACTTTAAACATATGCATTGTTCTTTGTGAATCTGTATGTGTTTGTTGTTCTTTTGGGAACTCGTTAGTTTCTAGTTCAATGAGAAAGATGTCATACATAGGGAAGGTGTGGTTGTTTATCATAAAGAATTAATGGTTGGCTATCCTTCCCACTGTGTAAAGGACACACAGAAGCTGTGGAATGCTTGAGAATTAAACCACTGCCTATTCATGATCTGCATGCAAATATTATTGATGAGGAGATGCGGGAGAGTGTATCAGAAATCATGGTAAAATGTGTAACTAAGAGTAGGCTCGATTACATTTTTAAAATTTACAAAAATTGTGATTTTTACAAATCACAATACATTTTTTTTAATATATTTTAATGGTAAATTATTCTGCTTTCATTAAAATACATTTATTGGGACAAAAATACATTTATTGGGACATATTACTGTCTGTGCTGTTCACTTAAAACCACAGGAGAACTTAAAAAATTACTTTTCTTCAATCACGAGTAGAAACTATTTACATTATAGAATATTTAAATAACAAGATGCTAAGAGCTTGCTAAGTTAATTGAAATGTGAAAAATTTTCATCTTTAAAAGAGAAATAAAACTTTTGATACATATATTTTAAACTTACAAAAAACTAATAAAAGTTCTATAAGAATACTGACATTTAGTTCCTTAGGTGAGAAAACCTTTTAAACCGGAGCTTCATATGCTGCGAAAATTCATGTTTCAGCCTTTAAGACTTTTATTTCAGAACTTTTAAAAAACACAATTGTTATAAGGGTATATATTCTGGTATATGTTGTTTATGTTTTGGTTTTATTGTAGTAGAAAGAACATTTGCTACTTAAATGAGGACCTTTAAACAGAATGTGTTATTCTTTTCTTTTTTTTTTTTTTTTTTAATTAATGTACTGTAGCATCTCAGTTCATCACTGATTTAATCACTTTTTTTTAATTTAAGAGAATTATTTAATAATATATGTCTTTCATTTACAATTCTGCTTAAGGAAAGTATAACTTTCTTTTCATTAAAAGTAATTTTAAGATCTTCATTATTGTTAACTAATAATGTTCATTTAAGGAATCAATTATATAAAGTTTTGTATTTAAAATTACATAAATAAAATGCTGTAAGGGGAAAAGTTGAATTTTTTTCAAAGTATGTTAATAAAAGTTTTTAATTGATATTACTAAAAATCTTCATTATAATGTTATAGATGGATGAAGAAAATGCCTTTCAAGCAATGAAGCATATTATGTTTACGCTAGGTCTTCGAAATCAATATAAAGCAGATATGGGTGCACTGCAGGTTTGTTTTTATGGTGTTTTAAGTATGTTGTAATTGGAACAGTGAAAATTCTTTTGTACTGTGTTTTGAAAAGATTTTGCAAAGTTATATTAATCTGATTATATGAAACAAATTTTTTGTAATAGATTGCACATTTTTTAAAATATGTATAAACTACCTAAATCATATTTTGATATTTATTTTACAATTTGCAGCTGATATTTTAACAACTTTAAAAAAGACCTTTTTTTATTTTTTATTAGAGAACTTTAACATTAATTCTACTAGCAAAGTTATGTTACTTCAGTTATGTAAAATTAATGTGACATTCTGAAGTATCATTATTCTCATAATAGCTAAATAATTTCTCTTCACAACACTATTTTATCTCCTCTCTTTCTAAGAGTCAGAATTATGAGATTGATTTTGTTTATATGGTGAAGATAGTGTTTAAAAATTAACCAATAAAGTATAGAAATTTAGTTCCATATTTTTATAAAAAGTTATCTTTTATAATTATAAATGATAAAACCATATGTTATTATTTTCTTAAAAGCTTTTGCTTATAAAGACTGCCATTAGAATAATGATTAAAAATCTTTTATGTTCAAACATTTTGATGGACTGAATGAACTTTTTATTTGGTTTAAAACGAGCCTAACATTACATTAGGTTAAAATGAGACTATAATGATTGAATAAAATTGTGATTACATTTTATTACTTGGTTAAAAAAAAGTTAAAGTAGGAATTCTTAAGTGAGCTTCAGATATGGAAGAATGACTTAAATATTTTGTTTTTTGTTTTTATTTTAAAAACTGTATTACTTAAGTATCAAGTTTTAATTTAATTATTTGAGCTGTATTTAATATTTTTTAATAATTTATAGGTTCAAATGTATCAGTTGGCCAGATTGATACAAAATATTGTTCCAGATATTCATGAACTATTTGATAAATTAGATGTATCTCCAATGTTGTATGCTGCACCTTGGTTTCTTACAATATTTGCTTCACATTTTCCAATAGGTTTTGTGGCTCGTTTATTAGGTAAGAATCTAGCATAAATCTTTTGCTTTATATTTATCTGATCACATTCATTATGAGAAACATGTGTATTAATTTCTAATCCCATTTCATGGAAAAAAAACGAGTATGCTTAAATTTTGGATGTACTAATAAGTTATAAAACATTCGTAAGGTAGTGCAACATATATTTGAAACAAAATGACAATGTATTTAATCATGCTATGTTTTATCAAAAAGACCAGTTTATCAAGTTATGTTTCTACACTTTATGTTCAAGTAGCCTATATATGTGCTTTAGACAAAGCACTTTACATCAGCCAAAATAATTATAGTAATGATATTGCTATATTGTTTACTATATCTGAGGTGCTGTAAAACCTAACTAAGAGTTAATAATGTTTTTTTTTTTTTTTTTTTTTTTTTTTTTTTTTTTTTTTTTTTTTTTTTTTACTGTTGGTGCCCAGCATTATCATAGAGCTGTTTCATTGGATACAGTTCTTTGTAAATAAACGGATGTTCACTTGAATTCTTGGTTCGGTTGCTGCAGTTGTTGTTTGTAGCAAATAGCATCAAAAGTTTGATCCAGTTTTAAATAATTTGTAAAATAGAATATTTTTCTTATCCTACCAGAATTTATCCCACTGGTGGTTAACCCCGGAATGTTGAGAGTTTGATCTGTGTTCAGGCTGAACTATGGTGAAGTCCATCAGATGGCATCCCTTCTCCTAAGCAGATAGCCTTTGTGTACTTTGTCATATACTGTTATATCATTATAGCATAATATAATTTCATTCACATATGTCTTATTTACTACTGAACATCATTACTGTGTAATTACTATTATCAATGTTCATACCAGATTATGAGATAGGTATCTGTATGTATATGGGTAACATAACAGAACATTTCAACTAATATTGTATCAATCACATAACATAGTATATGAGTAGTTATCATAGTGTAACATAAAAACAAATTCTAAATTTCAGGTATATGCGTTGTGTAGGCTAAACCCATTCTATGACTAAGGTCCAGTGTAAGGAATTAACTACAATAATTACATGGCTAAGTAGGTAAAATCAATCTAACGTTTATTAATGAGCAAATTTGTATGAATAATTTACATTTTTAACAAGGGTGGCAGCAAGTCTGCCTTAAATCTGAAGAAACAATTTAAAAGATATACCTGCTTACAAATTCAATAATTTCACCTTTCAAATGCATCAAATTATATTTTGGGTACTTGGTACCGCTGACGCGAGCTGGAAATAACAATTTTGTCGGTAGAGGTTTCTGTAAAAGAAAAACAATCAGAATTAATAATGTGCAACACTTTCGGAGGCCAGGCTCTCCGCCCCACAGCCTCTTCCAACCAGCAGGACTCCGGTCATCACCAAAACGCTGACCATTCTGCAAGTCTGGTGCTACAACTCCTTCCTTCAGGATAAGTTGTTTAATCTCTTCGTCTACTCAGGAACACCGTCTGCTGGTCCCCACTCTGCATCTTAGAAGTCATCGAAAAATAGAAAAAGTCCCCTTGGTCCCTTCCTTCAAAAAAGGGCAAACGTGTCATTCAAAATGGTTTCCTCGTCTCCTCGTGAAAAACACTGCGCATCCACTTTAATAGATGGCACGTTTTTTGAAAATTTGGCGTAGATGGTGATCAACAGCAGGAAGCCAAAACCAGCAACCCGAACCGAGAAATCTTCACGGGAAGGGGTTTCCCGACTACCAGAAGAGCCAGTTATATCCATTCAGTTTCCAAGGCCACACCAAATCTGTCAACAAATCCGCAGACAAAAACAAGGGGGGGGAATAAACTAGCCTCGCTCAAGGTCCCAGTCGACCATGCAGAGCTTCTAACCCAACGAATATTTTCCCCTCCATAAAATACACTGTAGAACCTCTCCATGCTCGCCTGTCCAGCAAAACAGGGTCATCTTTTCAGGAAACACCATATGGTGTAACCATCCAACACGTCCCCTGCACATATGGTTTTTTTCGCTTGGGTGAAAAGAATTTTGGGGTGCAGTAAATCCTCTGATAAGAGATTACCGAGAATGAAATCAAAGCTGACGGCAAGGGGTGAAAATTTTCTGAACCAAGTTAACACAAAAATGACTTTGGGAAATTAAAAATATAACTACTAATTACACAACAATATAAATCATATAAAAAATGTCAGCACTATATAAATTGTTTCTTCAGCAGCAATTAAAGTTTACACGCATATTATCCATATTGAATTACAATTACAATAGATTTTTCCTACCGCCAGTCAGAAAATATGCATTCGTTTAACTTTAATGGCAAGAGGGATAAAAATTAAGTTACTTAAGGTTAAGAAAAAGAAATTTAGCACACCAAAAGTACAGCAACAAGGCTTTAAAATAATTAAAGTTAAAAGTTAAACAACCTTAAAGGTCAAAACAACAAGATTCAAAAACTAAAAATCTTAAGTCCCTAAACTCAAATTAAAATTAAACAACTTCAACTCAAGAAAACTTTTAAAGCAACCTAACCTAAATTTAAAGTTTACAAAAGTTACAGTTTTAACTTACAACCAACTTTAAACAACAAAACAAAAAAAGGAAATTAAAAACTTCAATTACAGATCAAAACTGAAATAATAAGCGAAACTTAAGCTTGAAAATAAAAACGATTAGTACATAACAATACAGATAACCTAACTTAACCTACGAGAACTATCTTGCCATGAATGTTATTTTGTTTATCATAATCTATCTAGTGATTTTGTGTTTGGGATTATTGTAATGCATCTACTCTTCATCACCTGGCAGGATTTTCCACTGAAAAAATTTTCTATTTGTTGAATCAATTCTGATATGCTCATCCTTGTTATTCTCTCTGTGTTAATATGGCATCCATCTTCCTTTCATCTGAATCACTCCCAGTACTTTTGAAAGCTTTGCCCCCCCCCAGTTGGGATAAACTTTCATCCGACAGTCTTTGCAGTTCTTTCTGAGCAACCTTCTGTACAATGCTATCAGTCAATAACATCAGTGTCACTTTGACTCTGATGTGCTTTTTAAGTCAATAGTCTTCCTAAAAATAGAAAAAGTTGATGTAGAAGCAATGTTTGTACCATTTTTTCTTTGATGAAACTGGCTTTCAATGCTGTGATGAATAAATGCTTTGTCAACCATCATCTTTCACCTGCAGATATTGAGGTGCCAACTTTGATGTGATTTTTATTACTCTGAATTGATTACTCTCACGTAAGAAAACACATGGATAAATATTTGATTCCTAAGCTGGCAGTGTGCAGAATCGGCTTCAGACATAAAGAACTTAGGCAGCCACCTAGGATTTAATTAAGTTAATATCATGAGTAACAAATAAATTTTTAAAAAAATATGTAAGTTTTTGAATTTTTTAAATATTTTGTGTGTTACCGTTATTTATTCAATATCATGTTCTTCACTTAAACCATAAAATTCAATTCAACAGCAATATCGCGAAATAATTTTTAAATGAGCATATTTTTAGAATTTTCAATACACAAGTCTTGTGCGCTGGAAATAAAAACTTTTTTTTTTTTTTTTTTTCATACAGTGTTGCGTTGCTTGCTTTCAAATCATTGAGTTTGTTAACAAAAAATTCATTCGTTACAAAATATGAAATCGATAATAAAACAAATTCCAAATTCGGGCTTCTAGATGCCCATATTCGGTGGAGGATTATGTTATTCAAAATTGGATGGCTCTAGGTACAATTGTCTGAGAAACATACATACATTTATGCAGATTCTTCATTATTTAATTTCTTTAAATATAACGCAGGGCGATAATATTTGGTGGCAACAATCTGAAAAGTGAAAGGGAAATTTCAAATTTTCAATGCAAAATGCCAGAATGAAATTAATAGCCATTCCTGGGCTAATAAAGATATATTTTGCTTTGAGAATGTTTAATTTTTATAGTACCGCAACTGTTCTGATTGCCTGAAGTGGTGAAAATGCTGGTCCCAGGCCTTGTAGCCAATAATAGTAATAATAATAGCAATAATAACGTTTAATTTATTTGCATCTTTACTGTGTTAAATTTTGATTGGAAGATTTTGTGCAGCAAAACACCAGCATTAAATAACAAAGGAACAAAGTGTCTTGTATATTGCATTCTTTGTTTACAATGTACTTTTTCCGTTTCTTTCTGTCTTTGACATATATGGAATGTGCTAAGATTTTTAGCATAATTCTCAAAAGCAATGAAAAATATTATAATTGTACTGTACATTTTCAAAGCATTGCAGAACGTTATATAGTTTTCATCAAACCACTACATAAATATTAAAGTAATATTTAAATGGTTCATGCATATTTTTGTTCAAGTTTAAGAGTGCCATGCTGTGTTTAAACTTTGAGACAGTCTCATTCTCCCTCAGCACACGTTTTATACCTTCTAATTGTTTGTTTCTGCAATTTAATATGCAGATTCTTTTTTTTTTTTTTTTTTTTTTTTTTTTTTTAGCTGCTCTAAAAGATGTTAAATTTTTACTTAGCAATGAAATCTTGTCTTTTAAATAGATGTTGAAGCATAACTTCAGCAAAGCATAAAAATTTTTCATTCATCTTCAGTTTATTAAAAGTACACTGGTCGTTAAAATTAAAGGATAATGACAGATGACAGGGTAAACCGGGTTTGGACACCTGAGCGGCTTACATAAACTAATCATAAGGATAATGACAGAAATAAAATGTAACTGATACTTAATGAAAAATCATTGACAGAAATTTGAACAAAAGCATTAGTTAACATAAATTACAATGTTTGGCAGTTAACAATTATTCGTAAAATATTGAGATGAAAGCCAAATTTATGGAAATTAGAAAATGATAAAAATATTAAGTAACTTCTTGTGAAAAAAATTTTCTTTAATCTGGTATGTGGTCATCGGGGACCGATAAGCTTATCTTGCATCTTGGTTTCATAGAATTTACCAAATTGTTGACATGCTGAGTCAGATGAGTAAGGTGGCCAATCCATTCGAATGATATCTTCTGTTTGCAAGTATTCTGAACATATCTCTGGGTGGTTACAGAACCCCCTTGAAAGATATGCAGCTTGGTGCAGCCATTTGTCATCATTCCTCCCCAAACCATTAAATCATGTTCACGGAAACGAGATATTTCACAGACAAAGGAAAGCAAGTTGCATGTTCCTTCCTTCCTTCCTTCCTTCAAATCAAAACACATGTAGAATCATTGTTCAGACTATATCTGGACTCATTAGTAAGCAATACTTGAGGCCAGCTATCTTTTTTCCATTGAACATAAAATTGGCACCAGTTTAAACAAGCCCTTCTGGAAGCTGGAGTGAGTGAGACAGACACAAACCATTGGTTTTCTCGCTTGCAGTCCAACCTTGTTAAACCTTCATACAATTCAATCTTCTGTAACAGCCTGAAGGTTTAAAATGAAATCTCTTATAGTTGCTTCGTGATTTCTTCAAGCTGACATGACAGAAAATGGTCTTCTGATGCCCTTGGTTGCCTTTGACCAGCCTGTCTATCAACTGATCCAGTGTTAAAAAGCGGCTTCAGACTCTTGATATAACATTTTAAGGGATATTCAAATCTTGGCTCACCTCCGTCTGTGTTTGACCTGCCTCGATTCTACCAATTTTTCACCACATTTGGCTTTCACTTAAATCATGCCCTTGAGCCATAACTACTAAATGCTGATCAGTCTCAGAAACCATATTCACTTTAAATAACATTACAGACCAGAATTTCAACATGCATCCATTTCACACCACATTGTCAATCACCGAATTAGCACAGTTCCAGGACTAACATATGCGTGGAAGTGCAATTTTGTGTTCAGCTGTATTTAATTAACATAAATACTTACAGCATTGGACATTAATTGAAATAATTAACTTGATGAGGATATTTATTGTCATTATCCTTTAATTTTGATGACCAGTGTGTATCTTATCAGTTAATAATTACAAAGTTAAGGATTTTTAAAAACAATTTTATCTTACCTTCTTTGCAATATTTCTGTTCTAGCTATTATTTTATAGCGTAAGGGGTCTAAATAGTGTAAGTCCTGTAATATAGTGTTTCTCAAACTATAGTCCTTAAAATCCATCCTTGTAGTCTTCCTAGATTTGCAAAAATGTTGTGTTATTTATAAATTAAGTAGCAAAAAATTTACACCGTTTTTGTTGATGACATGTGACTAAGTACACTGGAATATCTTTCAGATGTATTCTCAAAACTAAATGGTGAACTGAGTCTCTGTCTGCAAGGTAATTCTTTGAATGTTGTAAATGCCCATGAGAAAGTAAAGGTGTTTGAGATAAAACTTGCTTTGTAGGTTAGTTTTGTAAAGCAGTGAAAGTGTTCACCATTTCAAAACTTATAATCGTTTTTAGTAGAAAATGATATTGTAATTGGAAAAGTTTCAAATGGTGCAAATTTTCATGGGTGCTTAATTCTTACTATTGCAATTTCAAAGAGGAGAATAGTAAAGGTGGTTTGCAGAACATTCTAATTTACAAAAGTGGTCCCATTTGAAAAAAAGGTTTGAAAAATGCATATAAAAAATAACTGTAATGCTGAAATTTTCTAGTGACAAATCAGTTGCAAAATCTACGTATGTTTCTCTCTTTAATGTCTTTGGAGTAGTACTGTGCTTTTTCAATATTTTTATATTTTTCTTCATATTTAAAAAAAGAAATGTAGAAACATTAAAAATTAAAGCTAAAATTCTTTTTGAGTTTAGTATTATTTAACACAAAATATTAATTTTTTTCTGTTGGCAGCTGTAGATATTCTTTTTATTTAAGAAGAAAAGCAGAAAATGTACTCATTTTTTAAATAATATTAATTTGTTTAATTATTTGTATTTTTTATCAATTTTAATTTTTCCCTGGCATTCTTTCCAAATAGCCTATGTAAACAAATATAACTGAATACCTAAACTGTACGAGTTCATTGATTGTTCTTGTTTATAATATTGCATTTTGCTTAAATAATTTTTCTTTCCTGGCTCTTAGCACTGTTCTCATGATTGTTTATTAAACATTTTTTTAGACATGATGTTTCTGCAAGGCCTGTCTGTGCTATTTAAGGTGTCTGCTCTGTTATTAAAGACTCATCAGGCACAGATACTGAAGTGTAATTCCTTTGAATCTGTTGTATCTTTCTTGAAGACAACCTTGCCATCTAGCGGGCATATTGGAATGGAAAAGGTTTTAGATCAGGTATATTTCCTGTTTCTGCTTCTCCCCCCCCCCTTTTTTTTGAGTAAAAGTTTGACATATCATTTTTTGATAAATAATAACAGAAGTGTGAACAAGTTGCTGATATGTATTCTTCGTTGATGCATAATTCTAAACCAAGTTGATGTCTTAAATGCAAAATAGTTGCGGCCCATCAGCAGCCTAGCAGTAAAATCACCAAACAATGATAGTTCTGACCTGGGTTTGAATCTAGGCAAATGGTCTGGCTGCATGGGCTTTTAGTAGTTTTCCCCATATGAAATATGTATATGAGCTCATTTTCCTTAGAAAGTCCTCAACGAAGGCATTCCTTCCCTTAGGCAGACAGCTTTAGTGTGCTTTGCCATAATAAACTAAACCTAACCAAACCAAGAACCGGTTGCAGTTAATGTGCTGTTATTTTATAATTTCTTCAGAATTTGTAATAGCAATTTCTATTTTGAAATTATATATTTACTAGTATTTTCCCACCTTAGCTGCATAGCCCACCAGGGGCCGAGGGGTAAAGTCGCTGAACACTGGCATTTTGGTCTCAGGTACGAATCCCACGAACGGGCTGGCTGCATGGGCACTTTCGTTTTTCACATGTGTAAAAATGTTTATACGAGCCAGTTTTCCTAAGAAAGTGCTCCATGAAGGCATCCCTTCCCTTAGGTAGGTCTTTCCAGATGTCATATGTGAACAAGCTGTGGATTGAAAACTATGTTTTTGCACTTTTTGAAGAGAAACATTCTTATTTCATAATTTAAAAAACATTCTAAAGTCCGTGGTAATAGAATTTCTAAATGCAAAATAATAAATATTTTTAAGCTACATGATAGAAGATACTAAATGAATATACAAAAAGGTATATACTGTTTCTAATAAGGTTAAATCATTGGTAGCAAAAGAAAATCCACCAATGTAGAAGTCAGTTGCAAAATCTTTAAATATATCTGTAGCAACAATAAATAAAATAATAAACCAAGATTTAAGAGTTAAAAAAGCTAAAAAACACAATGTTCCCCAACTTTCCCTGAGGTATGTGGCTGAATGTAGAACAATTTGTGAAACTCTGTGTGAAAGGTATTGAGTGGAAGACAAATGAGAATACATTGTGACCTTTGCGAAAGCATGGGTTTACCTAAATAACTACAACAAAAAAGGTCTATTTGTTTCTGAAAATGTTTAAAAAAAAAATAATAGTAAAAAAAAAAAAAAAAAAAATCTGAAAGCTTTCAGATTTTATATTACGCCCAAAGGAGCATTTTTTAACGTTTGATGTGTTGCCTTTACTTATTAAATATCGTGTTCTTCGCTTTTAAACCATAAAATTCAATTCAACAGCAATATAAAGAAATATTTAAAAGAGCATATCTTTAGAATTTTTGATACACAGTCTCGCACGCTAGAGATTTAAAAAAAAAAAAAAAAAAAAAACCATACAGTGTTGCCATTGCTCACTTTGAAATGATTGAGTTTGTTAATCAAAAATTCTTTAATGTTTGATAAAATATGAAACAGATTATAAAACAAATTCCAAATTTGGGCTTCTATATGCCCATATTCGAATGGACGATTACGTTATTTAAAATTTGATGTCTCTAGGTACCATTGTTTTTTCACAGTGCGAGAAACATACACACATTCATGCAGATTCTTCGTTATTTAATTTCTTTAAATATAATGCAGGGCTGTAATATTTGGTGCCAATAATTTGAAAAGTGAACCAACGCAAAATGTTAAAACGAAATTAATAGCCCTTCGGGGCAAATTGCTCCTTTGGGTTAATAAATGTACCATTATTCCAAAGAATTGCTGCAAGATTCTCTTACAGTGAGAAATTTTAAAAAAGAATGGTAAGGAAAAGTGTTAAAATCAACTCAAGGTACTGTCAGGAGAAGATTTTATGTCCAAAATTTAGAGAAGAAACTCCATTTCTTTTATCCCAGTGACTTTCAAAGAGTTCATCAAGAGAAAGCAACAAGTAATACTTTGAAAAGTACCACTGCATTGCTTGAAAACAATGAAGACTGACACAGATATTGCATGTACACCTTTGAGATATTTAAATCTTTACCCCTGAAAATTTTACAAAACATGGAAATTGTGATGCATACTAATAGTACACCAGAAAAAAGGCTATCATATTGAACATTTAAAAAAATGCTCTTTACGTTTTAAAAATTATTTAAACTGCCTCAAAATTGTTCTAAAAATATTAAACACTCTCTGTAGCATGGATTTTGCTTCTCAGACTAGTATAGTCATTTCAATTCTTTGAAGCCTGTTTGGAAAACACAAGCGTAATATAATTTTGATTTATTGCAACAAACAATAAACAGCTGACAATGTTGCGCTAAAATACCTCATTTCTAAAAAATACGCCAGGATGTTATTTCATTTTCTGCATAATAAATTTTAGTTTGTTTTTAGAATCGTGCAAAATCACATATTCTCTAAGTGCTGAATCAAAATTGAAATAAGTTTTTAGTGTTAACAAAAAAAGACTTTTACATCTTCTATTTTTATAATTCCTTTCCTAGTACCATATTTGATATTTGCATGAATTTGTTGATGATTTTAAAGTATGTTTTTTCTTTCTGTTCTTACAATTTCAGGTTCTAGCACTCGATGTTGAAAAGCTATTGCAAACATATCAAATAGAGTATATGGTTCTAAAAGAGGAAATGACAGAACATAATAATGAGTCTGAACCAACAGCCTCCCTTCGAAATCAGTTCGAGAATGAGAATAAAGAACTGCAGAAACAAAATATGGAACTTTCTGAGCAGTTACAGGTAATAAATAGAGTCCCATTAGCTGTCACCTTTTTGCCTGGAAATACTTAATTACCATTTAAAACTATATTCATAACTCTGGATATGATCGGACTTCCCATTAAAAAACGTGTTTTTTCTAAATCTTTTATCCTTTTATCATCCATTGCTGTCTGAACTTCATTCAGAGAATCCAATTTTGTGTTAATTTTTGTGCATGTATATGTTATGCACATCATCAAAGTTGTTCTGGAAAATTGTCATTAATAGTAATCATTAAATTTTTAATTGAGGACTATTAATGGATTTTCAGTGGGTTTAAGCTTCAGATCATTTTCTTGATAAAAGTGAAAACAGTCACCTATACTCAATTTTGAGCATTCTCTTCAACTGTTCTGAAAATTTGTGGTTGTTTATTTTGGTCTATTGCTGCATCAATGATATGAAAGTGACCTGGTCCAGTGGCTTCTAAGCCTTCTCCAAACATTTAGTTGTCCATCCAAATGAAGGATAGCAATCCATAAATAAAACTGTCCTATAAAAGGAATTTTCAGAAAGAGTTTAAAAACTTCAGTCATTTCAAACAATTGATCATGCTCATCAAGGGTTTTTTCCGTTGGAATTAAACTTTTTTAGTATGATTCTTATTGTTTCTGCATTAGTTCTTTTTCTAAAATGCTCTACTAATTCCTCAGCTAGTTTGACATATTTTTTTTTTTTTTTTTTTTTTTTTTTTTAAAGTTCTATTTCTGAAATTCTTTTCTGATTCTACAGCCAATTAAGAAGTAATTAATTTTGAACCCCGCCTCTCGCCTTTTTTTTTTTTTTTTTTTTTCCTTTTTTTGTGCAATTCAACAATTTTCAGAATGTGTACAAATCTTCCATTTATTTTTAATGTTGTTTTTTGTCTTAAATTGCTTGATTACATGATCTAGCGTTGAATGGCTTCGTTTACTGTTTTTTTTTTTTTTTTCCCCCTCACTATCTCTTATTGACAAACCATCTTTAAAATGGTTTTATTAGAAGTGTTTGAATTTCCAAAGATATTTGATCAGACTGTTTTCCCATTCTTAATCATCAAAACAAAAATCAACAAGCAGGGAAAATTAAACTAATGTCTCAATACTAACAACTGGAAACCCATGAAAAATTGAAATTTTTGTGTAAGAAAAATCACAAAATTATAATATTCCCCCCCCCCCTTTTTTTTTTTTTTTTTTTTTTTTTTTTTTTTTTTTTGAGACTGATTTTAACTCTTTTAAAGTTTATTTTTTTTTTTAATTCAAATTAGTGTTGGCTGATTTTCTCTTTTATTTATAATTAATGAGTATGTATTCAAACATTGATTTATAAAGTCTATTTTATATCTTCTCTTATAATGCTAAATAAATTAAAATAACGCGTTTAAAATGCATGCCATATTCAATTCGGAACAAACCACATGCGGAAAGAAAAACTACGAGCACAGTTGCAAACTGCTTAAGTCACAAAAAATGCTAAAACCAAAAATGAAGAAGAGAAAAAGAAATTTGCATCTTTTGCTAGATCATCTTCAGTGGGCTGTTGCAACGAAAGAAGCAAATACAGTTATCAGTTTTTGAAAGTTTAATACTTCAAATTATCTCAGAAAATTAACCAAAGTAATCTGTTCAGTAAGTAATCAGTCCAACCCCTACAAGCTGTAGTACAAGTAAGTAGTGAAAAAATTCTAAAATTATACATCAGAATTGTAAACAAGCTAAAAAAACTTTATAAATGTAATAAAAATTATTTTCTATTTCATCAGACCGAATCCAAAAAAGAAAACATGTAAACAGAAACATTTTAGCATATGAAAAAATAACAAATGAAAAACTGACCCAAAATAAAAATAAAAAGTGTAAGTTTTTAAAATCTGTAACATTAGAGCAATAAAAGTTTTGAAATGAAAAAATACTAATTTGGCATAAGAGTAAAAGACTGTTGTTAAACCTAACATGCATTAAGTAATTAAGATGCAATAACACACTGAATAAATACTAATTCAGAAGTCAAACAACAAACATTTAGCGTTATATTTACAAAATTTTTCACAGGACTAGTTTCGATGGTTTTACCTAACCACCATTCTCAGCTGCAAAACCGCAAATGAGCTGATTTTTGTTGTTTGACTTCTGAATTATGCATTAAGTAATTAAATTAGATTAACTACAAATTTGAAACTGATTAATGATAATAAAAATAATTTTAAAAAAACTTTGATGCAACATTAAGTATGGTATAGTAAAAATGATAATTTGTACAGTCAAAAGTCGTTAATCCGGACTCGTCGGGACTTCGGCGATTCCGGATTATCGATTTTTCCGGATTATAGATCATCAGTTTAGATCTGGTAAGATGGCATGCAGAAATTACAAAATTAAAAAATATGAAACCGTTAATTTATGAAATAAAGAACAATTATGATCTAAAGGGTATCAAAATTTACAAAAAGAAAAAGCTTAATATTTATTTGTTTACTTTATTAAACATTTCCTTCAGTGTAAGTTGCTTCGTTTCATGTGATAATAATTTCTCTTTAATTCTATTAAACAGACATAATTTCTTGTTTAGTTACAAAGTTCCGCTGTTGAAGTCCTATAATTGCTGTGTTGAGAATACCGACTAATTTGTCAATCGAAATGTTTTCGTTTTCAATAACCTCTGGGTCACTTTTTTCACTATCGGAAGCGAATTATAATGACGAGGAACTTGATTTAAATCATATCAAAGACGGAGTATATCGAGATGAAATACTACACTTAGTATGGAATTATAAAAAAAATAAAATAAAAACATCTGCTCTGAAGATAAGGATAGTGCTGACAGATCAACTTCCAATCCCCAGCGTGAAATTGATAAACAGATTTCGGATTTCAAAACATACTTTCGCTTTGTAGATACAAATTACATATTAGTAAATATATATCGGAAATTCTATTTGACATAATCTTTCTAATCTATCATAATCAATAATGACGTTTTTGCCGGCCCCCCCCCTCTGCGCAGAGCAGCGTGAAATTGATAAACAGATTTCGGATTTAAAAACATACTTTCGCTTTGTAGATACAAATTACATATTAGTAAATATATATCGGAAATTCTATTTGACATAATCTTTCTAATCTAATAATGACGTTTTCTGCCCCCCCCCCCCTCTGCCGCAGAGCAGCGTTGAAATTGATAAAACAGATTTCGGATTTTTCAAGACATACTTTCGCTTTGTAGTAAATATATATCGGAAATTCTATTTGACATAATCGAAAGTTCAAGCTTACTTTTATAAAATTGCTCTAACAGTCTGCAAAAAATAATAAGCCGGATCCAATTCGAAGATTAAGGAACAACGCAATCTGCAACATTAACTGAATTAGATAACTTTAGCTTAGCGTATAACTCCGTTACACATTAAATGCGCATGCGCACAAACATATTCGCAGCTGTAAGGGTCTTATGCGCTCTCATAAATGCCTGTGCGCATGCATGAACGCGACGCATGCGCATAAAGTTTGTAGCTTTGAGGTCCGGATTATAGATCATTCCGGATTATGGGTGTCCGAATTAACGACTTTTGACTGTATAAGGTAAAAACATCAAATATCTCCTCTTAAATATATATAAATTATCTCTCTTATGTTGAAAATTGCTTTTTAAACTTAAGTGTCCATCTTTTATGCTGTGCCACTGTACGTGGGCCTCTCAATTTTTGGCTAAATGTTTGCCACAGTATCTCATTTGCTAGCTTGTACGAGTATACAGATTAGCTTATTCAATAATGTACAGTAGGTTATTTAATTTTTCTACTACTACATTTTAATTTCCTTTATAATGTATACGTATATTTCTGATAGTGACATTGAATGTTTTATGAATGGCTTGCAAATCTAAGAAGACTGTATTGTGCATACTTTGCACTATTTTCTCTTACATATAGAGAAATAAATTTTAAAAAATTATATTTATAGAGAAATATTCAAATACAGTACACTCCCGATTATCCGCGGAATTGGGTGGCGCGGCCGCCGCGGATAACAAAAATCATGGATCATCCGAAAAAAGCTAAAAACGGGTATAGCAAAAGAGAAAGCAGTCATTCAAACATTGAAAAATCGTTTTATCTACAATAAAACATAAAATAAACAGCAGGAAATGTTTAACTAACGCTTAATATTTTAGTATATCACTCAAAACTAACCTAAAATGCATTTTGTTAATGAAAACAGAAAAGTGCTTTGTATACTTACGAGAGGCGTCAAGGATACACAGAAAAATTAATACATATGTACTCTTTTAATACTGTAATGTATTATGTAATAACAAAAGCATAACTGTAAAACTACACCTTTTTGAAGAAATCAGTCATTTGTGTTTGCTTCTTGCTTTGGAAGCATTTTCTGTTGATCCGAGATTGCATTTTTCGTAGCATAAGTTTCTCGGCCAACTCCACCTCGTCTTGTTCTTCCAAATAGCTCAGCAGTCTGTTGATTTATTGCAAAGCCCGTTCATGAGTCTTCCGCATCTGCACAATGGGCTCTTTTTCGCTTTCACTTCGCTGTCCTTCATTCTCGGTCTCTCCCTTTGCTTTCTTCACAATTTCGTCATCTGTCAAGCGTTCGAAGCCAGGTTCGTTGACGTCACACTCCAACAACTCGTTAACGTTTTCAGCATCGATGTTCACCATATCGGCAAGAGTTGTCGTGGGCGTGTCTACATCTTCATTCTCTTCTTCACAACTCAAAGGGTTGTTGTTGGCTTCAACATTAGGCATGAGTTTTCTCCATGATTTTATGAGGGTTGACGGTTTCACTGAGTCCCATGCAGATGCAATATTGTAGATGCTGTCCAAGATTGTGTAGTGTTTCCAAAACTCTTTTGGATCATAACCTTCTTCAATTTTGGTCATTAGCAGCTTGGTTCGGTATGTTCTCTTCATTGTTGCAGTGACTCCTTGGTCCATGGATTGGATTAGCGCAGTAATGTTTGGGGGGAGAAACTTTGCAAAAATTTGTCCATCAGAAGACTTTAGAACGCTTGTTGCTGGGTGAGAAGATGCGTTGTTGATCAATAGCACAGTTTTTTCGATTTAAGATGTTCACGCACTTGAAGAACAAAGATTTTTTCAAACCATTCTTGAAAACTGTTTTGGTTCATCCATCCTTTTTTTTTTTTTTTTTTTTTTTTGGTTCAAGTAATCAACAAGCAAATTTTCTATCCTTGCGCCTTTGAAAAATATCTTTTTTTTTTTTTTTTTTTTTTTTTTTTTACTTTCCAATGACAACAAGTCTAAGTTTATGTCCACCCGTAGCGTTACTCCAAGACATGATAGTGGTGATCCTTTCCTTGATGCTTTTATGACCCGCCGCTTTACTTTCACTTTCAAATGCTAAAGTGCAAGTGGGAAGACATTTCCACAAAAGTCCCAATTCGTCGGCATTGTAAATTTGTTCAAAAGATAGCTCTTCTTTTAAAACAAATTCTTCAAATTCATGGTGGAAATCATCGGTTGCTTGTTGGCCACCACTAAGTTTCTCCCCATGAAGTCCAATTTCTCAAATTCCATGTCGCTGCTTAAAATGAGTCAATCAGCCTGAAGATGCATCAAAATTTCCTTTCAGGCCAAACAACTCAAAAAAGGTTTTTGCCTTCACCGCAATGAAAGGACCATTTACAGGAGTATCCTCTTTTCGAAATTGAGCTAACCACTCTCTCAATGCTGTGTCTAGCTCATCAAAAGTAGAACCCTTCATAGTTTTTCGCGTTTTCATTGTGGAAGCACTGTCCAAAATTGATGCAAAGTTGACCAGTTTGTCATTTTGCTTTAGAATGTCACGCACTGTTGTTTCCAATATTCCATAATCCAATTCCATCTGCTGCCTTGTAGTGCCATTTGCTACTTTGGAAATTAATTCTAGTTTTTGTGCAATCGTAAAACAACCTTCTTTCATTTTCCTGACATTTTAAATCGCTACCGAAAAACACAAAACCAAAAAGCACAAATAAAAGATAAGAAATTAACTCCGACCGGTTCGCAAACACTATCAGACTTAAACTAACAATGGCGAATGGGAGGAAGTGGACGTGTCAGTAAGATTAAGACGAGAGAGGGCGATGGAGCAGGCACTGCAAGGGTGAGTAAGAAATCACTTACTCATCAGAAGGGAAGGTTCCGAGAAGGCCTGGGATGTTTTTGCCATAAATAAGCACGATGTTAGCAAATTGAACGTTTCGCTCAGTTTTGTGAACATTTTTATTTTCTTTGCTTTACGCTAAAAAAAAAAAAAAAATTGTGCGGCAGGCGCAGATAATTGGGAGTCTACTGTAATATTTTTAGTATATGGGTAGTTTCACAAAATTTAAAATGAAGATTTTCTTTTAAGAATTAAGAGCCATTTTGTTAATATTTTAATAAAATTTGGCAATTTGCTTTATTTCAGTTTCCTGTGTTATTGTTCATAGTTTTTGTGTTATTTCTCTTAAAGTAAGCATATGAAAAAAAAAAAAAAAGAAAGGAAGAAAGAAAAAGAAAAATACACATAATGAAATATTATTGGGATAAAACCTTTACACTTATATTCTAATCTTAACTGTGTTGAAGATTCATTGGTACGAATGTGTAGCAAATGTAAAGGGGTGCCCATGTTTCATCTCGATCTCTTGTTTTTACTCCAAAATGTGCAAGTTACATTTGTCGAACAAAACTTGTTGTATTTCGTTTTTGCCTTTCCACCATTAATTCACCACAAATATAGCAAAGAATCTGAAGACATTTTACAGCCTCTTGAAGCCATTTAGAAAATAGAAAATTTGCTTTATGGCATGAAAATAAACTTTTTATCAACGAAAACATGAAGGGAATGAAAACACAATTTATGCACGAAAATAGCTAATGGTTAACACAGCACTGAGAATATAGATAATGGTTAACTCTCCCACTGTCTCTTAAACTTTGTCTCAAAAAATTTTGTAGATTCCTTAAAAAGTATTTATAGGGAAGGAAAGGCAATGAGAAGGTTTCAAGGGTCCAAAGTACTTCTTAAATGTTTTTAAAAATTAATAAAAAATGTAGTAAAATAGAAAAACCAGGTTCATTCATAGCAATTTTCATTAGAAAACTGAAGGAATCAATGGACTCCTCCCCCCATCAGATCTCTCAACTTTTTTCCTACACAAATGCTCAATATAAGACACACACACAAAAAAAAAAAAAAAAAAAAAAAAAAATTTAAAAAAAAAAAAAAAATTAAATTATAAGGGAAAAAAGTTTTGATGTCTATTTTAAAGTCATATTTTCATAATTTTTTGACTTAATAATTTTGAAATAGCCCTCCCTCCCCAACGACCGATTGCTAAAGTCGCATAACACTGGAGTTCGGTCTGAAGATCAAATCCCACAAACAGGCTGGCTGTATGGGCGTTTTCATGGTTTTCCCCATGTGTAAGGTGTGTATATGAGCCAGTTTCCCTTGGAAAGTCCTCTACAAAGGCATCCCTTCCCTTAGGCGGATAGCCCTCAAGGTTTTGCTGTAATTACATAAATCAAACCAATAACTTTGAAATTTGAGACTTGCAGAAATTTCTGATGTCATGGTAAAGAATGAAGGTCATTTTCTAATTCAGTACTAAAAATTACATAAGAATCAATTATCAAAAGTTAAAAAATACAGCTATCGCAGGCTTATGTAATTTTAAACAATCTGGTTTTAAATGTATTATTACGTGAAATATTTTTAAATGTTCACCAAGAGACTTGCTTTCTGAAATTCTTAAATTAAGTAGTACAAAAAATCTAATAGCTTGAAATGCAGAAAGCCAAAGAATCCAAAAATTTCTAAAACTCGCAAATTTTTCATGTTAAAAAAACTTTTCTAAATTAACTATTTTTTTAATAATAACTACATCATAAACACCAGATAAAATATTTAAAGAAAGACAATAGAAATAACAAATAATACTGAAATTGAGAGTACTCCATCCAAAAAGAAACTCTGCGGAATTTTTTTGCTCCTGATGAAGAGGGACGTGTACCTGTTCACTCTCAAAATCAGTAGTCTCTTGGTTAAAATCTACGCCAAGCATATGGTTGTTACTTTGCTTAATTATATGTTTTACTTTGGTCTATTTCTCTTTTCTGTTGCTCTAAATGAGTTGAAGATGATATACAAAGGTGATTTACTATTTCTAGAACTTCTGAACAAAGAGATGAAACATCAGCGATTGGATTTCATATTTATTTCAAAAGCAAAACTTCCAGACACTTTGGCTTTAAAATTTCCAAATGAAAACTTTTACCCTGATATTTATGTAGTTTTTGTACATATTAGTTTCATTATCGAATAACATCTTGCAAATGTGAATGATTCGTAAGTGCTTTGACAAGAGTGCAGAAGTTCTCTGGCATTAATGCATATTCATTATGCTAAAGAAATATTGATTGGTAAATTTATGTTTGCCAGTTTATAGCCATGGAAAATGGAATTCGGAATTTTTTCAATTGCCAAAACAATGAAAAGGCAGAAAAATGTTTGCCTCCCCCCCCCCATTTTTATTTCCAATTTAATTTTATGATTAACATAAATGGTGCATATACAACTTTTATATGTTTAATTCAGTACCTTTACTTATATAGTTAGTTATACATAATAAAAATGGGCATTTTATTGTATTATTAGGAAATCAAAGTAAGATGAATTTCAAAATTATTTTAATATTCCTTTATATGAGTGTATATGTCAGAAATAAAAATACCAGAAGTACTTTTTCTAAGATTCTTTTATTTTTGTCATTTGTTGTTTTCTTTACTATGTCTTTTAAAATTGTTTTTATGAAAGTTAAAATGGCTAAGGTGAAAAACGGGAATATTGAAATGTGCACTTTAATGTAATATATTCGTCAATAATTACCAATACATATGAAGATGCTATAATATGCAGAGCAGTATAACCATTTGGTTGCAATGGGCAACCCTACCCCCGGTATTCTTTTCTGTCTACACTGATGTAATTGCTGTTAGTTTTATAGGTTTTTTTTTTTTTTTTTTTTTTTTTTTTAATTCTTGTTTAATGGATATATTCTTGTACAGCTTAATTGGCACAATATGCACATTCATTCCTGTTCAGCAATTGTTTGTGCCTTTTTTGTCATCTTAAAAACTATATAGTATATGATGGAAGAAAACCAAGTGACTAAATATTAGCTGAGCAACAAGGGATGATGTAGATTTCGGTTAGAAGATTTGGCTTAGAATAATAGCTTTATTTTGGCTTTATTCTTATTGGCTGATTTAGGTTTCTGTTTGTAGATTTTAATAGTATTATTGGCTAGAGCATTATATGATGTACATGCATGCATCAGTAGCAATTGTATAAAAGTCATTGGACAACAATTAATTTTGAGATGATGCAGTGCTATTATTTGCAGATATGCATATATTTGTTTCCTTTTACTTACTTGTATATATGTTTTCTTTTTAATTTTTGATGATTTTATTTTTCAAATGTCTAAATTAGGTTGCACTGAATACAGTCAGCAAGCTAGAAGCATCTGTAACATCGTACCAAAGCACCATACGCAAACTGGAGTCGCATGTTTCTACACTGCAAGACGAAAGAGATGCCTTGCATCACAGTGTTAATATATTGAGAAAACGCTTAGAGGCTCTAGAAACAACTGCAACTAGTCCTCCGAAAGAAGTCGAGTTAATCTCTTTTTCTCAGCCAGATACAACAAGTATTAAAAAATAAGTCTTACTGATCTTTGATTGTTGATGTATCAAGAACAAGTATAGATTTTACACTCTGTTGAATTAATATGAATAGAAATCATGCTTTATAAAATAAAATTCAAAATTCTCTGGTATTCAGACTACGTATATTTTTTTAAAGCGTTTAAAAAAATTTTTTAGTTCATAATTTTTCATAGCTAAGTTATATGTAGGTACCAATTACTTGATAAGTAACTATTTCTATGAATGTTAGAGATTTTTCTAATTATGAATTTTTGAACTGTTAGATGTTTAATCTGTAAACATTTTCGTGCATAATACCAACTTCGAAGTAGAAAAGCAGGAGGTTTTACATGTCTTGAGACACTAGCTTCTGAAGGACTTGAAACGTACAAATTTGATTTAAAATTAAATGCACAGTTCAATTTATTAAATTAGTTTTAATATAATTTTAATGGAAAGCATGTGAAATTAAAATTTATAGTACTGAATATAAGTCACTACAATAAATTTAAGCTGTGATTTGGGGCTAATTTTAAAGTGAAGAAGATTCTGTAAATTTTTTACTAAAACAAACCCAAGTAGGAAAGAAAAAATTTTGTTTATTAAAATCTTTTTAAACATGGATAAAATTAATGTATTTTTATAATAGAAAAATTAAAAACAAATATTTAGCAATTAAGCATTCGTTAAGGCTTCATAAAATGCTGTACAAATCTCTGCATTATATCAGAGTAAGTCAGTAAAGTAAATTAATCAGAAAAATTTCTCTGAAAATCGCTTTAAAAAATGGAATTTGCTTAGTTTTAAGTTTCATTAAGAGAGAACAACCCTGTTTGCCTCAATTTTTTTCCAGGAATAATTGCCAAACATTTTTTTAAAAAATTTCCTTTTCCTCTGACTTTTAGTTATTAACATTTTATTTTGATTGACACTTAATAGACATGTCCTGAATTCAGACAAATTAAAAACTAGGAGATCTAGAGGTTTAACTGGAAGTCACTGCTTTTCTTCTTAGTCCAAAGGGGCTTTGTCCCTGAAGGACTATTGTTTTCGTTTTGCGATTTTGCTTCAATTCACTACAAACGGCGAATCACTTTTCCAACTGTTGCCACAAAATATTATCGCCCTGTGTTTTATTTAAAGAAATTAAATAGTGAAAAATCTGCATAAATGTATGTATATTTCTCGCATTGTGTGTTAAAAGAATGGTTCGTAGAGCCATCGAATTTTGAATAACGTAATCCAAATTATAATCTGATATGGGAAAACTAATGTTGGGATGACTTATCTTTGTCTTACAAATTTAATGTTAATTAATATAGGTAAATGTTTCAGTATTTTTCACAAGGAGGAAAATTACAATTCCAACTTGACGGCTGTGTCCGATAAGAATCTGGCATAATCTCAGTAACAGGAAGCTTGTGTATCATATTTCATACTCAAAAGTTGCAAGTGTCTGTTATAAAACTAATCTGGCATAATAATAAGAATCTGGCATAATCTCAGTAACAGGAAGCTTGTGTATCATATTTCATACTCAAAAGTTGCAAGTGTCTGTTATAAAACTAATCTTTTTACATTATCAGAAACCCTCAATGAGTAAGCTGATTATGTGTTTATCAGAAAATTTTAGAAATTTGCAATTTGTAATGGATTTAAAATTCAAATGTAGTTTTATAGCTCAGATTTTATACAAAGTGAGCATATTTGGTAAGAAATGGATAAAGTGCATAGAATGTGAATACTTGAGCACTGAAATTCACAGTGAAATGGAATCTTTTATCTGGTTTAAAGAATATTGATGTGTGCTGTAAAATAAATTATACTTTGTAGAGTGGGAGATAATGCAGTTGTTTTATGAACTAACAGCATTGAATCTACGCTGCAAGTTACTCTTTCTCTTTGCTTACTACTTGCTTCTTTTTTATTTTTAGATTGCTTTACACAATTTAATTTTTTATTCATTTTTCTTTAAAATTAGGTAGTATGAAATGTGGCTGAATGCCAGAGAATATTTTCTGTCATTCTGTGCTTTGCTAAAAAATATCTTTTATATAATTATTAATTTAATATTTAAATATTATGTAAAATCCTATGTTTTATAGAACAAAGTATAATAATATATGTAACAACATTAAAGTTGTAATGTGATGTACAAAACCTGTGAATATTAAGTGTTATCCATAATTAAATAAAAAAATGAAAAAAAAAATGTAAACAATGAGTATGCTGAAATAAATATATTTATATATAATTTTTGATGGAAAAATGTATGCGAATGTGTATATATTTCTGTAGGTCTTTTGTTCTTGTTTCAAGCATTTTTTTTTTTAGAATGGAAAATGTATTTACACTTATATTCTGATATTTGGAATTATATTTTTAACATTGAGGAGATTCAACATTATTTTTAATGCTAAAATAAATGTTGCTTATGTGTACTAAATATATATTATGGTTCACTAATGAAATTCATAAAGTGCTTATGAGTTTTAAGAATGTTAAGTGCAATTCTGATAGTTTTTTTACTTAGTGTATTTTTTTATTTGCTTTTAGCGGGCAGCTTGTATATTCATTTTTAGAAGTTAATTAAATAGCAAACCTGGAAGTATAATATTATTGTTTTTTCCTTTTTTGATTACAGGGTATAAAAGAGGATATTTTAAGATAATTTCTAAAACATCATATTCTATTTATGCTACAGCATTTTAATATTTTCTCATAAATACTTTTGTAATTCAGTTTTGTATATTTTTGTTCATCATTGCGGTTTTTACTATTTATGTTGTATATCTGTTGAATATCAAAGCATTCATTTTTTAAGAGAGTCTTTTTTGACTTCTAAATAATTTTTTATCCCCATGTATACAGCTAAAAAAGTGATTAAATTTGTCATGAAATAAACAAATATATGCCAGCCTCTGTGAGTTTTTCATAATTTTTGCAAAAACTATTCACGTTTTATGACTTATGTGTAAAATTAATTTTTTACCGTTTTTTCAATTCTTTTGTAAAAGTACTAAAAATTTCACAAGTTTGGCAATTAGTTGCGAAAAGTTCTATGTTAAATACATGGTCTTGGCAGGTATTCATATTACTGCTTTAATTTGTCCTTTTTATTTATCTGTTTTAAATGCCATGATAACAGCAAATTCTTTTCTTTCTGAGATAGAAATTCATTTTGTTGTGTGTCTTTAAATTTAATGACTTATTAGAATGGTGGCAGTTTTAAAACCAATTTGTGTGTAAAAATTCGGTTCAGTAATTTATGAATTTCATGATAATTTCATAGCAAATATGGTACCATTTCGTATCATTAAAGTAATGATTAAAATTACTTAAAAATAACATTAAAATTAAACATTTTTATTTCCTTCTGTTATGTTTTAAACTGTCTTTACCCTTCATTCTGGTAATTTTTAATGTAGAAATGTTCTAAAACGCAATTTCTAAAAATTACTTTGTAACAAAAGCAGAAAAACTACTATTTTTAAATGCCTTACTCCCCCCACATCCACACACACATTTTTCTGTAGTGTTTTTTTCCTGTGTAATTATTTCAGAATATTCAGTTGTTTCTCTGCAAAATTCACTTTACACTTTTTTCTGAATTTTTTCTTCCAACCATCTTTTAATTTTTATATTTATGAAGTGTGAAAGTATGTCAGTAAATAAATGTAAGATTTTTAAGTAAATGCAAATAAAAAGTTAAGTAAAATCTGCTTTAGATCTTTTTTATTAAAGAATGAAGAACTTTTTTAATTTATTAACGAAATGCACAAATTTACTATTTAACACCCAACATAAATTGAATTTTCTATTATATTAATTCAGTCTAGTGTACTTTTCTCTATTCATTAAAATGGGAAGCATTTTGTTTTTCAAGTAATATTTTCCCCCTCTAAATGTGATATTTAAATAAAAATTAGCACAATATATTATTCTTGCTTCATTTTAAAATTGTGATCAAAAACAAGCTCGCATTAATTCTACAGTGTTATATGTACTTCATAAAATAGCCAAAGTAATTTTTTAAATCATGATATTACTTTTTAGGTCTTCCAATAGAATGTAATTGCTGAATGTGATTATCATTTGTTTGATTAATTATGAATTAGAGTTTCATATCTTATAAGAAATATTATCTGTGAATAAGCTCTCAAGTTTCACTTATTTATAATTAATTTAATATGTATATTTTTGCTTTAAAATAATTTATGACCCCCAAATGTTAATCATAATTAGGGCTTATGATATGAAATACACTACAAGAAAATGTTTGTTCAGGTTTTGTCTGTAAATATATTAATGACGCTCATCTAGTTCTTTTCCCTTCAGGATTAAAATAAGGAAATGAAATATGTTTAAATTTGATATCTCATATAATATTTCATTTAACGGAATGATTTTTCAAATGTATTTGAAATTTAAAAGCAGTTAATAATAAAAAATTATATAATCCGAAATATCTCATTTTTCTCAGTATAAATAATGAAAATTTGCAAAAAAAATATGGAAAATTTTATGGTTACTTTAATACATAAAGGCCATAGCACTGTTTATTTTTTTAAACAAAATACAAGCGTAGTACATTTTATTTTTAAAAACAAATGAATTCCGATTAAAGCTAGTGTATAATGTAATCAATTATTTACAAGAGTTTTATAATATTTAAGAATATTTTTTATAGTATTTATATTTATACTTTATTTTTTTAAGCTGTTTCTCTGTTTTGTACATTTAAATTGGTCATAAAAATAATATAAGTTAATAAAAGAGAGAGGATAAACATATGATATGCTTAGTGTACTAACATCTAGTTTGTATTAAATGCAAAAATGTATTTTTGGGGGATGTTTTCTTTCTCAAAAAAAGCCTAACCATATGAGAAAAAAAAATTTCTAATTATGTTAATTTTGTTTACATTGTATGTTGCTTGTTGTATTTGTTTTAATTTATTTATTTACTATATGTGTATATGTATTACTTTCTACTTATAGGTCAATGTTGTCTTTTTAATTTGTAATTATAGAAAGTATATTTGCTTCATTCTTTGTTTAAATATTCTGAGGTGTTTTTTATTTACCCTTACCAACCGAAATTAATGTATACAACTTAATTTTCATCAAATTTTTAATTGCTATATTTCTAATGCAAATATCAGTCAGTATTAACGAAGTATACAGATGCTATAGATATACTTCAAATGTTCCGAGTATTGCAAAAAAACAATCTGAAAAGTATCAATCAAAAACTAAATATCTGATTCATAAATTTTCAGTCAGTTATAAAATTTGTGTTAAATATTATATATTGAAGAATATTATCCAACTGAAGCTTTCTATGACTGAAAATAAGTTTAAAAAGGTGTATTTTAAATTTTCATTTAATTTTTTTTTTAATCAGCTCTACAAACTAGTATAACTTGGATGTTATGAGACTGAGGGTATATACCTTAGAAAATTTGTCGATATTGTATTATAGATTGCAACATTAAAATTTTTAGAATTAATGTGAAAACCAGTGCTTCAGAAGAGCTAGTTGATTTAAAGCAGCACTACTGCAATACTGTAAGAAACTTTGAGGCAGGAATAAGTTTTATTTCTTTGTATTTCAGGATATATATTTTTGATGTACAATCTTTGAAAAGACATTTAAAAATAGCATATAAGTGTTTTAGTTATCATTTGATTTAGCATTCTTTAGATGAATATCACGCTTGCCTGATGCAAAAATTCCTGAAATTTGTAAATTAACTTTCTTTAGTGATTTATATATATCCTAAAGCATCCTGAAAATATTAGGTACATTTTAATATGTTACACATGCACTAAAAAAAAAGTACTGATATTTGCATTTAAATATAGGTGGCATATTTGTGGTTATTGTTCTTAACATTGTATTGTTTTGAAGAAGTGAAAATTTTAAATTCCAAATAAATTTTCTTTAAATTTGCCCTTATGTAATCTGAATAGTGATTAAATAATTTCATGTATCTGAAGAATGATAGTTTTTAAAAATGACAAAAGTATCTAATTTTATTCAAAAAAATAATTCAGTACTAATCAATTACTTGTTAGTATTATTTGCTGTTTAACACATTGACGCCAGCCTGATTCACCTTGTCTGTTCCGTGGGGCGGCATGATCCACCGGTGGGTCATAATATAATAATTTCATTTTATAATTGTAATTTTAATTTTAAGATTTTAATTTTCTAATTTAGTGCTGTGCTGCCCCATGAAACAGGCCACCAATTCAAGTGTCGCCGTCAACGTGTTAAAATACAGGTTTCTTGTGCTTTACGAAAGCAGAATATTCCTTAGAAACTTTCTGTAAACTGAAATAATGTAAAACAAAGAATCATCATTAATTAATGAGGGAAATTTTTTTTTATCGTTTTGGTTATGAGGTCATTATTAAAGGCTAAAATATCATGCCTAAAATGTGCAAAAAGAAAAAATTATTTGATATAAAAGTACTATAAAACCGCAGTTTCATTTTCCAGAGTGAGGAAAACAATGAGCACATTGGACGATTAGAGACAATGGCTTTGCAATTTGCCTTAAATTTTGCAAATAAGAAAAAAGTTCTACTTAATGTAACTGTACAGTTTTCCGCATATCCACAACTGATTAATGAATTTTCAGTGGATACAAGGACTATGATTCAGGAGAGAGATCATCGGAGATACATAGGGCTTAAATTCAGCTTCACTCTTTCAGAAACCAGCTTCATTACTTTTTGGTGTTTGCATGAATTTCATACTTAGAGCCCTGAATAAAATAAGCTGTGTTATTTAATCTTTCTTGATGATCTTCCTTAGGGCTTAGATACTTATAATTTCAGAAACTGAATTCTGAAGATACCTATAACTGAGTAATTTTAGCATCTTTTGTAAAAGTGAGTCACTACATCTGTGGTTCCTATGCCTGCCATACAACATAAGATTTAACTTATGCTGTGGCTGATGGGAAATATTTGAAGTGTTACAGTTTGCTTCTTTATTTGTTAATTTGTTGTTGTTGTTGTTGTATAGTTTTCTTAAGCAGTTAAAACATTAAAAAAAATTTCCTTAACTAACGTGTTTTCACAATTAGAAACATACTTTTCTGCAATTATTTTATAAAACAAATACATTTTAATTTCTTTTAACTCAATCGTTGGGTAACATAACTAGATTTCCTGGAGAATTTTTGTTCCATCTTTTACCTAGAATCCAAAGAATTTATAATGTTTAAAAAAAAAAATCATGTAAAAGCTATTAAAATACTTATTGATAATGCAGCTTGAAAGCTTGAAGTTACACAGTTGAGATTAATAAAACTTCTGTTGCTTACTGTCTGAGAATATAGTTAAGTACAAAAGTAATACAGTTATTTACAAATCAATTATTAAACACTAAGAACATGACTACTATGTTAATGCACCTTCTCACAAATGAAAGATAATTTAGTGCTCAAGCTTAGTGCTCCTGAAGGTTGGATCAAGATTTCAGCACTCCAGGCGTAAGTTGCCAAAGCTCTATCCGTAAACTTAAGTTTCTCACTCATTATTTAAATTCACTGAATTTAAAATTTTTGGTGAAACAGATAGAAAAGTAGAAGTTCAGGAAAGATTCAGTATTAGAAATAGCATATTAATAAAAATAAACCTTATGTATTGAAGAAATGAGTAAATGTTCGTAAAATGGGAGATACCTGTAATGGAAAAATTTGAGATGTAAAGAACTGTATTTTGAATAATTGGGTAATTTTATTGTTAAGCAACTCTGTATCTGTCACTACATTATTTTTCAATGTATTTGACCTAAAATAAGTGCTTGAGTTTTTTAATTTATTTACTTTTGTTACTTTTTTGTTTTTGCATGTACTTTTTTTATTTGTTAGATATGCAAGACTGACCACGAGAATTTAATTCATATTTTGGTCGTAGAGTACTTAATTATTCAATAAAAGTATTTCAAATGTTTTGAAGTATTTTGTCATTTCTGTACAGCAATTAAATTAAAGTTTACTTACTTATGTGTCATTAAAAATTTGTTTAAAAGTTCTTAATTCCACAACTTAGATAAATTGTCTATATTTACATATCATTATCAAATTTATCTGAAGATAAAACATGATGTCCAGGGGATGATTATTCAAGTTGCAATGATATCAAATATTTGGCTAAATAGTCTTGATATTTTAAACAAAATATTTGCATATTTGGCTAAAAATGCATTAAATAATCGTTATTTTTAAACAAGATGTGAAAAATTGAAGTTTTCACTGCGTTTGTTATATTAAGCTGAAACATAAAACACATTTTATTCTAATATTGCATGCATATTTTTTTTTAAATTTTAATCAAACTTTACAGTTTCTAAATTAATACTCCCTCGGTTCCAAATTAGTTGCTACATTGAGGTCAAAAATTTTGTCCCAAATTAGTTGTTACGTTTTAAATAGGTGAAATCATAAATAACTTTGGATGCAGTAGATCGACACCAGTAAAATTACATCTCAATTAAAATCATCACAGCGTGGTATTTTCATTTCATTCTCAATTTTGACTTTCCACAAATGTAGCACTTATTTTGGACAATATTTTTGAAGCAAATTTACAGGGCTTGCATGCTCTTAAGCCACACCCCATTTTGTAAGGACTCTGCCACCAGTATATCAGAAACATCATGCTTATGTGATTAAGGCAAAGCCTCGAGGGCTGTATGCCTTCATGGAGGACTTTCTAAGGGAAACTAGCTTGTATACACGAGAAAGATGAATGAATTCACAATTCATTAGCTCGAAGATAGTTTTATTACTGCAATTACTGGTGAAAGAGTCCTTACAAAATGGAGTGTGGATGAAGGGTGGATGAACTCTGGATTTTTTTAACTAATTTGGTACTTATTTAAGGAGAGAATGCTTGGTAAGTAAATATTGTTGATTGATAATGTACCATCCTGAAATTTCTGAAAAATGTTCAAACAAAATCATAAAATCATCAGTATCAATAATCAGTACAAAAGTATTCAAATGTAGCAACTAATTTGGGACAGAGGGAGTAATAGTTAACCACATTTTCAAAATAATCAGAAAACTATGTATAAAAAGTACCGCAGAAATTTTGTATATAAAATTTAGAAATTATTTTGAAGTTTATCATGAGTTAGATACTTTCATGATACCTTTGATACTTTTTTGACGTGAATTGTTAAGAAATGTATATTTTATAAAAAATAATACATAAAATAATCAAAAACAATTTAAACTGCAGAGTCATTAGGTTATATCGATGCTGGAATGAGAAAAATGTGCAGTGCCTTTGTTGAGTTTCATCGTTGAACGAGCTTTCAGTTACACCTCGAAGGCGTACGTTGAGAGAGAAAATACTTTATATACTCCCCCTTTTTAAAGGGTGACTGAGCATTAGGCTATCCAATTGCATCAAATCCTGATAGTGACTAATTATCGCCCATCCCTTTTTTTTCTTAGTTCAGGTGCCACTTGTAGAGTCATTTAGAATTTAAAAAAGTCGGGAATTTAAAGAAATTTTGCTGTGCTCTGTCCTGAATAAGCTTCAAACGTGCTTCCTGTTACATCATGAAGGCATGCTGAAAGAAGGGAGAAACAGAGCTTAAATTGCGCCGGAGCCTGGCTCCGGTACTTCTTAGTTTTGGGGATAAATCATAATTCTAGACGGAGCGCACCGGAGCCCTAAATAAGAAGGCTTCGACTCTTCTATGTAACTGAACAACAATTTTAGTAGAAATCTGATCTCGTAAATTTTATTTTTAGCAGTAAAATTATATTAAAAATCGCTTATTAAATTTCAATATATTTATGTACATATAATTTAATTTTAATCAATTAATTACTTTAATCTTTAATTATTTGAAAAATAATAATTAATTAATTATGAATTAATTTAACAGTTATTAATTAAATAACAATACAAATATTAATTGATTAATCTGGTAATAATTAACTGTTTCATTTTAAAATTATTAATAATTTTAATTGCCATTTTATTTATTTATTCACACTTGTTCTTCTTTCCTGACATTTTTGCATAGGGCTCTGGCACTTCTAATTTTAGAAATTAAGCCCTGGGGAGAAAATACCGTGTAAAACTATTATTGCATTTTGGACCCATCTGTGACTGAACAGGTAAGACTGCTGAATTCATGTAGTACATTCGTATGCAAAATCAAAAAATTTCCACATTATTTCGAATTTCTGAAAAACTAATGGACTGATTGTAATGAAATTTGGCATGGATATATATTTATAACAGAGAAAGAGATGCACACTGCAAAAAAAAAAAGTTCTATATCTCCCGTTCTACTGGGACGATTGACGAAATTCAACTTGCGTTTTTCATGTCTCGGAAGCGCGACTTGGGATATGTGTTAGATTTATATATATTATTGTTCTAATATAGGTATTTTGACACAAAATCAGACTTTTTCTGAAATGATATGCCAATTTTTTTCCGTATTTCGATACTGCGACTCAAATTATGCCAAACTGCCAAGTTTCGTAAAAATCGCTTGTTTTTAAAAGAATAGCTCCTAAAGTTTTAGAACCTCAACGCTAATTGAATTTCATATATATTTATTAATATATCTTTTTTTTTTATTATTAAACTTACTTGATTCCTTCTTCCAGAATTCGAAATTTAGGTTCATTTCAAATAAAATTCGCCCATGTTTATGATTTATTTTTAAAATTTTTATTTTTAAATAATTTTTATAAATTTTTCCAAACCAAATTTGAATTATAACCTATAAAATTTTTATCATCATCATAAAATAGATGCATTTCTAAGCATACCTGTAAAAAATTAGAATTTTTTTATTCAAAAGTTTCTAGGATATACGTGGATTTACATATTGTAGCGTTTCGAAATTTGTCATATTTGTTATAAACAATAATAACGCCAAAAGTGGTTTACGCACTTTGTTAAAATTATTTGAAACATTGAACGATTACTTTTTTCCTTTTGTTTGCAATGAAAAAAAAAAAAAAGGAAAGGTAAATAGGTTGTTATAAATTAAGAAGTTCGCCAGGTGAATTATTCTTGGCGCAAACTGAAAAAAATGTGCCAAGATAAATTTTTTAATTTGTTTGTAAATTTCGTACCAGATTTTACAATATTTAATATCTAGGCATAATTTGAGTCGTAAAATCGAAATACGGAAAAAAATCGACATGTTATGTCAGAAAAAGTCCGATTTGGAGTAAAAATACCTATATTAGAACAAAGCTATACATAAATCTAATACATAGTCACGCTTTCGAGACATGAAAAACTATTCCCATCCTCTAGGAAGGACAAAATTACGGGAGGAAGTACGGCATGGAACGAAAATAGGGTGTCGATGGAAAAGAAAAAATTATGAAGCACTTAACAGATTTTTCTGGAGGAAAATATAAAATTTGCCATAAATATAACGGTATATACAATATCTCTTTTCCAGCGTGGTTTCATTGTGTTTAAGCACAATGCCTGTCGGTTTGAACTTAATCGAAATAGCTACCCTATGAATAAATGTTTGTCTGCTGACTGTTTCTCAAATCAGTGATCCAGTTAAACGACAGTGAGAAGCTGGATACATTGTATTAGAATAAAATGTCACTTTAAGTGAGTGCATTTCCGGATTAACGATTTATTGTAGTTCATTAGACAAACATGCTCTTTGCAACTCGATACCTCAGCTGCAATGGCCGCATGTAACTTAATACGAAATAGAATCAAGTATTCACTCTAGAACACAGAAAGCTATTATTCAAGCATTTCTTTTTTATAATTTACAGTTAGTTATGCGTGGGCACACGTTTGTCAGATTCAGTGAGTTATAAATTTATTAGTCTAAGAAGTATTTTCTTAACTTTCATAAAATCGTTTTTTAATTCCGGAGTAAGGAGAGTTATGCTGCTGAAAATTTAGCTAACGCAGAAACAGCATTCACGTGTATTCTCGGATAGATTTATTTGAGGAGGACCAAGAGTTCATCTGCGATCAACATAAATTAAGCTGTGTAATGTTTATATAATTATGTTTCTAATTAATTAAGTAATTCTATATTAATTTCTTTTTTATATTCTCCTGCCCGGGGAGGATCCTTTATTTGCCACTCCTCTGGATATACAAAAAATGTTAAACGACATGTAGAAAAGTAAAACTCTACATTTATTTTTGAAGACTTTAAATTCAACACTTTTAAAATTATATTATTATTTTGCTTGTTTTCTTGTTTGCAAAACTATCCATGACATTGTTGAGGTCCATTCGATTTCTCTTACTGTTATGTAGGCAGAAGAGAATCTTAAATGCAAAATAGACATTTGTAGTTCTTAAATACGAGGGTTATTCGGACGTTAAGGCTGTGTTCAGACGGCGGCGTAAAGGGCATAGAGGAATAGTCGTAAGGGCATAAAATACGGGAGTTCCGTTCACACCTGAGAGAACGGTGTGTAAGCCGTGGCCAATGAGAGAAGCTAAATTTGCGCATGCGTGGATGTGTCTGCAACTTTCCCGCGCTGTTCTCCTGCTCGATTGATTTCCCGCGTTCGCTCTGCTTGTTTTGTAACGGCGAAATCTTCTGTAGAACGCTGCTTCGTTTTAACTTCGCTGTGATTGGTCGACGCTTATCTCCAAATCGGCGTAAAGTTTGAACCCTATGCCACGAGCCGTAACCAGATTTTGTGACGTAGCACAGACTGGTTGCCTTGGCAACGGAGCTCGGTTTTAACCACTTATGCCCTTTACGCCTCCCCGTCTGAACGCAGCTTAAGGTCCGAATTGCCGTAGCCAATCGAATATCGCGGAAACGTGCCATGTACAGGGCCAGATTACCAATTAGGCACAGTAGGCACGTGCCTAGGGCCTACGAAGGCCAAAGGTCTTAGGGCTTTGAAAAAAAATATATTGAAATAAAAATACCCCAAAAACTTATAAACATTTTTATATTATTATATAGTGAAGGTCAAAATAATATATGTAAATACATACAACAAAAAATACGAATACAAAACGTTTGGTTTACTAAGTAGATCCTAAATAAATAACTCCTTTTTTCGGGATTTTGACACAGCGAATTCGTGTGTATTATATCTTCAAAATTAATAATGCCGCGAGCGACATCACTTTCAATACACAGAAGGCCCAGTGACGAAGTTCTCTCTTGACCCATAGTTGAACGCATAAAATTTTTTATAAGCTTCAACTTGGAGAATGATCTTTCTCCTTCTGCATTCGAACCCAATATCGAAAGGTATATGCGCAATGCAATATTAACATTTGGGAAACTTGACACAAGTTTATCCTTTATTTGTAATTTGATGAGATCCGTTATAGAGGTGGTTTTGGGGTACAAATTTGAAAAAATCAAATACTCATCAACAAAGTTTTCTTCTAAGTCAGACGGATACATTTTTACCAGAGCTTGAGCCTTAACCTTGATAATGTCCTCGGTCAGTGTATTATCCGTAAGAAAACTAAATGTGTCATAAAGGCTGGTATACGCAGTGCGTCTCTTTGTCATTTCAGCGCAAAGCACATCCAGAACAATAAAAAAACATTAATCTTAAAGGAATCTTTGGCACTGCGAGAGGGAGTCTCATCTGGCCCTTCATCGAACTGTCGTTTTCTCTTACGAACTCTAGTTTCGGATTCTTTAAATTCTGAATCTGGTGCAAGGGCTTTTGCCTTAAGATAATAGCTATTATACATGTCCTCAGTTCTGCAGTGAGATAAATATTGAATTAAACTGTCGTAAAGTCGCACCATCGTGTTAAACTCGATGCCAGGTTCTTGAAGAGATTTATTTACAATATCGACGTGTTTTAGTAGATCTTCCCAAATAACTGTGAGTAATACCATCTCCAAAGTATTCATTTGATGGATTAAGGTTTGTGCCTCAATCACTGTTGTAGGTTTCATACCTTCACTAGTTGAAATATTTGTAAGAATACCACGTATATCATCATAATGGGCACATAATGTTTTTACAGCCTCATAACGTGCTGACCATCTGGTCTCTGAAAGTCTTTTTACAGAAATTTTACTTCCCAAAGACCTTAGTTTAGACCATCTTTGAGGGGACGCTGCAAAGAAATTGTAGAGAGCGATTGCAAAATTTCAAAAAATTTTACAGCTTCTAAGCAGCTTTTTTCTGCCGCCGCTGTGCCAACTAGATTAAGACTATGAGCTCCACATGGTACCCAAGTGGCTGCGCTGTTGATTTCCCTAAATCTAGTTTGTACTCCCGAATACACTCCGCTCATATTAGCCGCATTGTCATAAGACTGACATCTGCAAAATTTTTGGGTCTATTCCCTGATTTTCTAAAACTGAAATTAGAGTGTCAAAAAGATACTTGGCATCATGTTTTTCTATTTTAACAAACATCAAACAAAAAAAATCTTTCATATATATCTCCAGTTTTTGAGACATATCTAATAACTATGGAGAGTTGATCCGTATGGCTAACGTCAGGTGTAGAATCCACAGTGATTCCATAATACTTGGCTTCTTTGATTTCTGTAACTATTTTTTTTTTCCAATACTTTTGACCCCAGTAAAATTATTAGTTCTTCATACGTTGTGGAGGATAAATATGATACTTTTCCGCGGCCTGGATTACCGTATCTTCTTACATGTTCTTCTAGAAACGGATCAAATTTGGCTAAGAGATCGATACACCCAAGAAAATTGCCATTACTAGGATCACCATGTATTTCATTATCGCCTCTAAACGCTAGTCCCCTTTCGGCCAAAAACTTAAAATTACTAATTACTTCCACTACTCTTCTTAAAACCGTTGTCCAATATGTGCTTTCTTTTCTTTTTCCTTGACAATATCAAACGTCTCATCAATTTTTCTAGTTTGTTGGTAGTTCACTAAAGCAGAAATAGATGCAAAATGTTCTTTTGACACTTCATGACTTGAAATTCTCGAATGTGCGTTTTTCCAGTCATTAAAGCCTGTAAGGAATTGGTTACACAGGTTTGGATTTCCAGGTAGGTCCGATTTGAACAAAATACATTTATAACAAAAAAAAACTTGCCAGTAGATTCGGAAAATATCAACCAGTCCCTTTTTATAATATCATTGTTGTTCAGTTTTCTGAAAAAATAATCTTGTGATGGACATCTCATTATTTCGCCAAATTTAGTGGCGTATAACTTAAAATTTATATCCAATTTCTGCACAGGGTGATTACGAGAGAAGTAATCGATAAGATCTGCGCTTATGGTTGTCCACCGTGCTGGATCAGAACTGAAAATACTTGAGGCTGATGTTGTTGGTAGTGATTCAGGCACCACCTGCTTGGAAGCGTCGTTAAAACGTTAAATTTCGTAAAACCCCCGTCAGCCTCGTCTTCTGTGACATTCTCAGTTTTATTGGTTTGAACATTCTTGCGAGTCCCAACAAGCCTCAGCTTC